GCATGAATCGCTCGCGCGGCGCGGGTTGATCGAAAAACTTGTTTTCATCGGACGGACGAAACACCGCCATCAGGACGAGAGAAGTACTCTGAGATCGATGCTCACGACGCGACCGGACGCGCGCGCGCGCCGCATCGTCCGTCGCGCGGCGCCGCGCTCGCGGTGCCGAGGACGATGAAAACGTCGCCGCGGGAGGATGACGCCGCCGCCGCCGCCGCCACGAAGCGTCGCAGGGTGGACGACGGCGACGGCGAAGACGGTGACGACGACGACGACGCGTCGTCGTCGTCGTCGTCGTCGTCGTCTGAGGAGGAGGAGGAGGATCCGGACGACGACGAAGACGACGGCTCCTCCGGCTCCGGCTCCGGTCTCGACCTCGCGCTCGCGGAGGACGGACGCGTCGCGTGCCCGATGCTCCTCCACCTCAGACTGAACGCGTTCAGGGCGTTCCCGCGGTTCGTCCGGGGCCTCCCGAGCGCGCACGATCGCGACGACGACGACGACGCGTCGACGAGGGCGGACGCGGACGACGCGGCGCGCGGCGCGACGCTCTTGCGTCGGATGGTGCGAGACTGCGAGACCGTGTTCACCGCGCGCGCGAGGAAGAAGCGAGGAAGAGGCGACAACGCGCGAGCGTCGCAGTACAGCTCCGGGAGCACGTTCTGGCTCGGCGCGGACGTCGCGCCGCGGTGCGCGCTCGAGGCGCTCGCGCGGCGAGTCTTTAACCTGCACGTCTCTGGTGCGTTCTATACACTGGTTCCCATACGACCGCGTTGGCGTGGTGAACGCCGATCCTTAAGGACTTTTGCCGGCGGTTCTCTCCGCCCAGGGTCCCTCGCTTTCAATCCCCGCCCTCGACGCCTTTCAACTCCAACTGACGCCTTTCAACTCCACCCCGCCATCGCTTTGTATGGAACGACCCTCAGAGGCGAAGGAGGAATACGAACGGAGTCGTCTTCAAGGTCTTCCTCGCTCGTCGGCGTCGGCGGCGCCGCCCGCGTTCGACCCATCGCGCAGCGGCGCGGAGTGGTGGACGCAGGTCATAGACGCGAGGGACGAGATCGGGACGCACTGGGACAAGGACTACGGCCTCGAGAGCGCGAACGTGAACGTCCATCCGCAGATCGCGACGGTGACGTACCTGAGGCGCGTTTAGACTGGTCCCCATACGACCCCGTCCGCGTTGTGAACGCGATTCCTTAAGGACGACTTCTTTCGCGCGCGAGCTAGGATATTAACCTCACGTTTCGACACGTGGCGATTACTTCCACCAATCGCGTTCCCGAATAACTGACACGTGTCTTCCCCCGACCAATCCGATCGAACGACCCGCGCCGCAGCGACGACGGCGCGCCCACGGTGATGTTGACCGCGGACGCGCCGGTGTTTTACGACGCGTCGGCGCGCAGGGACACGCTGCGGGGGTCGCTCGTGCCGGGCGCGCCGTCGCCGGACGGGGAAGAAGGAGGGGCTGCTGGGGGAGGGCCTTTTGGTTCTTCGCGATGTTGGCATCGTCGACTCGGATGCCTCCCTCCGCCGGGCCTGGGACTCAGGTGCGTTCTATACACTGGTCCCCATACGACCGCGTTGGCGTGGTGAACGCCGATCCTTAAGGACTTTTGCCGTCGTCTCTCTCCGCCCACAACACGCTTTCAATCCCCGCCATCGACGCCTTTCAACTTCAACTGACGCCTTTCAACTCCACCCCGACATTCGCTCGTATAGAACGGCCCTCGACGACGACGACGACGACGACGACGCGGCGGCGCCGAAACCGCCGCCGCGCGCGACGGCGTTCGTGAGCTACCCGAGGACGGGCAAGCACGTCGCGTTCGACGGGCGGTGGCTCCACGGCGCCCCGGAGGCGCTCTCGGCGAAGAATATGTCGGACGGAAAAGTCGGAGGTGTCGGAAAGTGGCGTACAGTGTCGGACAAACGGCGGCGGACGACGTTCCTCGTGAACGTGTGGCTCGACCACGTCCCGTCGACGGCGGCGCCGCTGCCGGACGACGCGCTGCGCGAGGTCTCGAAAGAGCCGTACGACGACGACGACGACGACGACGACGCGGCGCGCGCGGAAGAAGCCCCGGTGGACGCGTACGAGGTCGTGGAGGCGGGAGAGACGACGGACGAGGGAGAGATGACGTCGCTGCCGGCGTTCGTTCACGCGGGAAGGACGCACCGCGCGAGCTGGCGCCTCCCGCGGCGGTGGACGCGCGGGGAGGGCGAGGGCGGGGTGGTCGACGTCGTCGCGTGCGGGGGTGGGATGGGGAGGTCGCTCGCGTTCGCGACCGAGGGCCGCGTCGAGGAGGTGGAGGAGGAGGAGGAGGAGGAGGAGGAGGAGCCCGCGTCCTAGCGAGATCTCGTCGTAACCGGCCGTGATAGCTGAGAGTGTCATTGTCAGCATCTCGGAAACGCGCGCCATTCCATCGTTCGCCCCGCGCGGCATGGCGACGCGTCGCGACGCGGCGACGCTCGATTCCGAGGCTGCCTCCTCCTCCTCCGAGGAGGAGGCGGCGGCGGAGAAACGCGCGGCGGCGGCCGCGGACGGCGGATTCCGCGCGCTCCTCGCGGCGACGCGCGCGCCGTCCTCGCCGCTCCCGACGCTCCTCCTCTTTCTCCTCCTCCACGACTTCCGCCCCTCCGAGCCGTTCCTCGTGGAGCACTACGTCCGCGCGCTCGGCGTGGACGCGACGTACGTCGCCGAGCGCGTCTTCCCGCTGTTCACGTACGCGCGCATGCCGTGCCTCGCGATCGTCGCGCTTTGGTCGAGCGCGGGGAGGAGACGACGCGGCGGCGGACGACGATGCCTCGCGGTGGTCATCGCGGGCGCGTGCGCGAGCGTCCTCGCCACGACGCTGACGCTCTCGATATCGTCGATCTCGTCGATCGGGGGCGGCGCGCGCGCGTCGGCGACGGCGTCCGAGCCGAGCGCGCGCGTCGTCGCGGTCCTGGCGACGTCGCAGACGCTCGTCGCGTTCGCGTTCGCGTCGCATCAAGCGCTGATCGGGTGGCTGTTTCAATCCTCCGTCGCGCGCGGCGGCGGCGCGCTCGCCGCGGCGACGCACGGCGTCAAGGCGGCCGCGCTCCTCGCGTCCGGCGCGTCCGCGCTGTTCGGACAGGCGATGCGCGCGTCCGGGGCGCCGTTGGAAGCGCTGTTCGCGACGACCGCGTGCGTCTCGGTCGTCGCCGTCGCCGTCGCGGCGAGGCTGCGCGCGGACGACGACGACGCGACGCGTTCGTCGTCGTCGCCGGAGGGGCGCCGCGTCGTCGTCGTCGTCCGCGCGCGCCCGCGACGCGACGGCGGGTTCGCGCGGACGGCGCGCGCGATGCCGCGCGATGCGTGGCTGTGGTGCGCGTGGAGCGTCGCGTGCGCGCCGTCGCACGCGTACGTCGCGTCGAACTGGCAGGCGTTGGCGTCGACCGCCGGCGGGCCGACAGCGGGAGGGTTCAACGGGTACTTCTCGTCCGCGCAGTACGCGCTCGCGGCGATCGCGACGATGGCGCTCGGGAGGGGCGCGTACCGTCGTCGTCGCGCGGGGGCGGGGGTCGCGGTGGCGGCGAACGCTCGAGGGTGGATCGCGCCGGCGGCGACCGCGACGCTCGCGGCGTCGACGGCGGCGCTCGCGGCGTGGGGCGCGGGATGGTGGTTCTCCTCGTCCGGCGGTATCAACGCCGCGGTCGGCTACGCCGCGCTCCTGATCTTCGCGTGCGCGTTCGAGGCCACGAGCGGCGTGTGCGCAGCGGCGATGGGGAAAGGCGCGAGGGTCGGCGCGGCGGCGGCCTCGAGAGACGACGATCGACGCGCGGAGAGGGGGAGCGCGTCGGGGGGACAAGTCTCGGACGACGACGACGACGACGACGACGCGGCTCTTGTCGGCGGGCACGTCACCGCGCTGTTCTCTCTCGTCTCCGCGGTCGGGTATCTCCTCGCGAGCGCGGCGCATGCGGCGTTCGACGCGCGCGGCGGCGTGTCCCTCGCGACGCGGTTCGCGTCTCACGCCGCGTGGCTAGCGTGCGCTTCGGCGTTGCTGGCGGCGGCGGCTTCGGGGGGCTTCTTCGGGGCCGGCTCGCGGCGGGGGTCCCGGGACGACGACGACGACGACGACGGCGGCGGCGGCGCGTCTGGGGGGTACGTAACCGACGATTTCGAGGAGGGAGGCGGCGGCGAAGGCGTCGACGCGCCGTTGTTGCGACGGACGACCGACTAGTCTAGTAGCAGGCTCGCGGGCGCCGGCGGGTCGCGGCGCGCGGGAGAAAAGTAACAACGGACGCGCGAAACGCCGCTCGTCGCGGCGCTGGACGGGCGCGCGTTCTTTTATTTTTTTATTTTTTTTACGCCAGACCTCGTTCTAATCATATTACAACGTGGACTAGCGCAAATCGTTTATGCTTCGGTAACGTAACTCGCGTCTTCATTGAGCGAAGAGTGTCTTCGAAAGGCTTCCTCGGACGCGTCGGTCGGTAACAGATGATTCGTTCCCGACCGCGGTGGTGTGCGCGCGTCCATCATCGCGGTGGACATTTACCAGGAGTAGTTCTGCTGGGAGCCGCCCGCCGCCGGCGCCGCGCCGCCGTCGCCGACCTGGCGGCCGGTCACCGGCTGGAAGGTGCGGTCGTTCGCCGGGCGGTGCGCGAGGAAGGAGGAGCACTGGACCTGCTTGATGTTGTCGAAACCCGCGACGCGAATGAAGCAGTCGGGGAACGCGCGGGTGCACGCGCGGACCTCGGCGAGGACCTCATCCGGAGAGGTGCAGCCGTACATGGGGAGCTTCCACATCACCCAGTAGCGGTTGTCGTAGTAGCCCGCGTTGACGGAGGAGTCGAGGCCGGACCAGCCGTGGGTGTCGCAGTACGCCTTGCCGGCACCCTCGAACTCGATGCAGGGAGCCCAGCCGTTGTTGATGAGGTACTGGACCTGGCGGGCGATCTCCTGGTCGGAGAGGGGGGGGAGGAAGGAGAAGGTCTCGAAGAACCTGAGGGGAGAAGGCGCGAGGGCGGGGGGCGATCGGTCAGTGGCCGCGATCGGAGGTGACGAAAAAAAAAACCCGAATCGTCGGGGTTTCGGCGGTCGGCAGCACGCGTCCGGTCGCGGCGCTCTCGGACCCTCGCGAAGGCGCGCCGGAACGGCGCCGCGCGCGTCGCCAACCGCGACCGCCCCGCCCCCCCCGCGCGCGAAACCGAGATCGACGACCACAACGACGGGATCGCCCGCCTCAGAATCCCCCGCGCGCGCGCGAGCGACGCGCGCGACGCGCCATGCCGCGCGGCGCCACGCTGGCGTGCGGGATAAAGCCGCGACCCCTCAAGCGTCGAGCCGCGCGCGGAAACGCGCGCGCGCGCGCGTGTCGACCGCGGAGACGCCCGCCGCGCGGGCGAAAAAGTCGCGCGAGGCCATCACGAGACAATTTCGTCCGCCCGGCGTCGCTCGATCGCGGCGCGATCGCGCGCGCGGGGCGAGCCCGCGCGGAGACGAGCGGGTAAGGCTGGTGCGCGGATCGCGAAAGATTATTGTGGTCGGGGTTGGGACGCACTTGTTGTTCGTCGGGTTCCAGACCTGCATCGCGGAGGACTTGGAGGCCTTGCCGGTGGAGACGGCGGGGACCTTGGCCACGACGGGCGCGACGGAGCAGAGAGCAGCCATTTTGACGGAGTTGGTTGAGTTGAAGCTTTGACGGAGCGTGCGGTAATGACGCCTTCCTCTCGAACACTCGTGGCTTTATACTTCTCGTCTTATCGAAAGATGCCTCTCCACCGCAAGCAGACTATTTGCGCTGTGCGGAGGGGTCGGTTGTTACTTCCGTCTCGCGCGTCGACCGGTCTGTGGCTCGCTTCACCGCGAAATCGCGGTCGCGGTGGTTTGAACGACGCGCGTTTCACCCCGGCCGCTGCCTTTCAAATCCCGCGCGCGGGGGTCAAAATGAAGTCTTTCGTATGTCGTTTCGCGGCCCGGCAAACAGTCTGAAACGTCGTAGCCCGTACGCGTACAAAACGACCGGCACTCCGTACGCGCAATTAGTCTCACATTTTCTCGTGAATCCTGTGCCACGAATGGCGATCCCCGAGAAGCGGCGCAGATTGACTCGGGGGCGCGGGAGGCGTGTGCGGGACGAAAATTAATCGACCGCCGGGGTTTTAGTTTCGTACAGAATAATGCGATTTCATTTGTCTACATCTCAAATCGACGCGCTCGACCAATGAAATTGCATCATCGCGGAGGAAGTTTCGCGATTTTTCAACCGCGCGCGCCAGGTCGGAACCGAGACGCGCTCTGCGTCACTCCCTGCGTGGGGCTCTCGACGAATCACGCGCCGCGAATTATCCAAATCACGTGGATTCCAGCACAAATAGCCGCCTCGAAGACATCTGCGCCCTCACATATCCGCACCCGTCGGAAGTCCACCACACTTCACACATTAAAATGGCTGCTCTCTGCTCCGTCGCGCCCGTCGTGGCCAAGGTCCCCGCCGTCTCCACCGGCAAGGCCTCCAAGTCCTCCGCGATGCAGGTCTGGAACCCGACGAACAACAAGTGCGTTCCCGTCCCGGCTTAATTCTTCACGATTCTTGCGTTCCGCGACGCCGCGCGAGAGATCGGCGGCGTCGCGGCCGCGCGCGATCGAATTCGCGCGCGACGATGGGCGAAAACTCGAAAGGATGGCATCCTTCGACGTTTTCTCCTTTGTCGCGCGTTCGTTCGTCGCGCGCGCGACATCGCGCGCGCGCTTCCACCGGCGGCGTCGTGTCGCGATTTCCCGTCCAGAAGGTTATCTTGATCGCGCGACGGATTTCCCACCCTCTCGCGGGGTGGTTCGTCGCGCGAGGAAAAGACGCCGAGCCTGAAACGAGGAAATCGAGACATGACGCGCGCGTTCGCGAAAGCGCGCGCGCGTCGCGCGTTCGCCGACGCCCGCGCGCGCGCGATCGCGCGCGTCCGTCGCTTCTTTTTTTATCCTTTTAAGGGTTTCAGAGTGCGAACATTTTATCCTCAACGCAAACGCTGACCGATCGCCCCCCGCCCTCGCGCCTTCTCCCCTCAGGTTCTTCGAGACCTTCTCCTTCCTCCCCCCCCTCTCCGACCAGGAGATCGCCCGCCAGGTCCAGTACCTCATCAACAACGGCTGGGCTCCCTGCATCGAGTTCGAGGGTGCCGGCAAGGCGTACTGCGACACCCACGGCTGGTCCGGCCTCGACTCCTCCGTCAACGCGGGCTACTACGATAACCGCTACTGGGTGATGTGGAAGCTCCCCATGTACGGCTGCACCTCCCCGGATGAGGTCCTCGCCGAGGTCCGCGCGTGCACCCGCGCGTTCCCCGACTGCTTCATTCGCGTCGCGGGTTTCGACAACATCAAGCAGGTCCAGTGCTCCTCCTTCCTCGCGCACCGCCCGGCGAACGACCGCACCTTCCAGCCGGTCTCTGGCCGCCAGGTTGGTGACTCTCCGTCCGGCGGCGGTGGCGGTGGCGGCGGCGGCTGGTAAATGTCTCCCAGTAAACAACACGGTTGATTTACTAGTCCACTCCTAATATAGTGATTGTTTTCACGTGGGAGCGACTCGCTCGAGCGTGAACGTTGTTTATTAATAAAGAGTTACGGAGCATCCATTTTAACACCTCATATCTTCTCCTCGCGCGCTCGTTCTCGCCTTTTTTCCTCGCGCGCGTCGCTCGTGCGCTCGAAAACCCCGCGCTCTCTTTTTCCGCGCGCGCGCGACGCGAGAGTGCGCGGCGAGAGCGCGCTCGACCGCGCGGAGTCGACGCCGCGCGCAAACCAGAAAACCCTGGGTAAAAGATCCCAATGGAAATCTTCCGCGGGTGCTTTAGCGCACGAAAAAGCGGATAAAATACGCGTCAGCGTAATTGTCGAGCCCTCTTTCGCTCGCGCACCGCACGAAACCTCACAACTCACTTAACAAAAATGGCTGCTCTCTGCTCCGTCGCGCCCGTCGTGGCCAAGGTCCCCGCCGTCTCCACCGGCAAGGCCTCCAAGTCCTCCGCGATGCAGGTCTGGAACCCGACGAACAACAAGTGCGTGTCCCGGGAAAATTCATTTCCCGTCCCTTCCCGTCCCTTCCGGAATTGCACCGGCGGCGCGTTTCGCGACGCGCGCGCGAGGGCAACGACGCCGCGAGACGAGCTGAGAAGTTCGAAACGACGCCCGCGTCGACGTTCGAGCGCTCTCGGTTCGTCTCGTCCGCGCTTTCGCGCGCGCGAGACGTCTTCGCGCGCGCACGCCGCCTCCTTTTATTTTTAAGCCGCCAGCATGGCTGGGTTTTATCTGGCTCGCGCGACGCTTCGGAAGCGCGCGCGCGGGCGCGATCGACGTCGCGTCGCCGCACGTCGCGGAGATAAAAGTTGATCGAGGGCGTCATCGAACTTTTCGCCGCCTCCGATCTCGGTTTACGACGCGCGCGGCGTCGCGCGCGCGTGATCGCGGTCGTCGTTCGCCCGACCGCACGGGTTGCCATCTGACACGGGAAGCAACAAACAAATAACAACGGGTTGGAACTTTCGACTGACCGATCGCCCCCCGCCCTCGCGCCTTCTCCCCTCAGGTTCTTCGAGACCTTCTCCTTCCTCCCCCCCCTCTCCGACCAGGAGATCGCCCGCCAGGTCCAGTACCTCATCAACAACGGCTGGGCTCCCTGCATCGAGTTCGAGGGTGCCGGCAAGGCGTACTGCGACACCCACGGCTGGTCCGGCCTCGACTCCTCCGTCAACGCGGGCTACTACGATAACCGCTACTGGGTGATGTGGAAGCTCCCCATGTACGGCTGCACCTCCCCGGATGAGGTCCTCGCCGAGGTCCGCGCGTGCACCCGCGCGTTCCCCGACTGCTTCATTCGCGTCGCGGGTTTCGACAACATCAAGCAGGTCCAGTGCTCCTCCTTCCTCGCGCACCGCCCGGCGAACGACCGCACCTTCCAGCCGGTGACCGGCCGCCAGGTCGGCGACGGCAGCGACGGCCGCGCGGCGCCGGCGGCCCCGTCCGGCGGCGGTGACAGCGGCATGTCCGGCGGCTTCACCCCCAAGCCCCCCCAGCAGAACTACTCCTGGTAATCACTCAACACGTGTGAGGCGCGCGAGCGCCTCGTGAAGAGACGAGCACCGAAAGACGCAGTTCTGTAAATGTTTTACTTTTATTGATGAGTGAGGCGGTGGCTCCCCACCCGCGAGATTGCACCTAGCGCACGTCAGGTGCTTTGTAACGAACGGCGGAGCCAGATGCGAACTAAAACACCACAACGCGTCGCGTCGTTCGCGCGTTCCTTTAAACCACTACGTGCACGGCGCAGCGCGCCCCTGGCGCTTCCCGCTAATACCCGATCGCCGGCGCTCCCGTTCGATCGGTGTCGTCCCCGCGGTCTGTGCTCGCGTACTCGAACGCGTCGCCGCCGCCGAAATTCCCCCCCGCCCCCCCGCCGCCTCCTTTCTTCCCCCCGCCCCCCGCGCCGCCCGGCGGCAGCGCGAGAGCACCCTCCCCCGCGGGTACGACGTAATCCAACCCGCCTCGTATCGGCGGCAGAAGAAACGGCGACGGCGACGGGTGAAACAGCTCGACGAAATCCGGCACCGCCGTCGCGTCGAACCGCTGCGGGTCCCGCGTCCGCTCGAACACGAACCCGGCGCGCGTCGGCGGCATCCGCGTCGAGAGCGCGGCCATGAACTTCTTCTCCAGCGCGGGGAAACACTCCGCGCGTCGTCGCTTGTGCCCGAGCGGGTACTCCGCCTCGACCTTGCTCGTGGACGTCCGGTCGCTGCGGTTGAAAGGCGGGCGGGTTCAAACGTTCAAACGTCGCGGTGGGTCGAAAGGCGTCGCGGTTGGGGATTGAAAGCGGGGGCTGGGCGGAGAGACGCGCCGAGACAAGTCATTAAGAAACGGCGTTCACCACGCCAACGCGGTCGTATGGGGACCAGTGTATAGAACGCACCTGAAGTGCACCTGCACCGCGTTCGCCACGCTCCTTCGGTCCGGGTCCGCGTAGTCCGCGCTGTACTGCGGGTTCTCCGTCACGACCGTCTTCCTTCGAAGCTCGTCTATGCGCGGGTCTTGACTGATGGAGTCCTCGTAGTGCTCCGCGGTGAGCGTCCCGTACAGAAGCGCGACGGCGACGGCGTACTGCACGCAGTGATCTCTGTCCGCTGCGTTTTTTAGCGGCCCCGTCTTGTCCACGCACCGCACCGCGCTTCGCGTCGTCTGAGGGTCGAGGGTCCATACGAAGCGATGTCGGGGTGGAGTTGAAAGGCGTCAGAAGCGTAGTTGAAAGGCGTCGAGGCGTGTCGGGATTGAAAGCGAGGCGTGGTGGGCGGAGAGATGCGCCGGGAGAGAAAGTCCTTAAGGATCGGCGTTCACCACGCCGACGCGGTCGTACGGGGACCAGTGTGAAATAGAACGCACTTGAATCGCGATCTGGTGCACCTCGTCCACGCGATATACCACCTGCGGGTGCAGCCGCATCGCGGCCTCGATCGCGGTCTGCGCGTGGAACTCCGCGGGGTACGCCACCTTGAACAACACGTTCTCCATAACGTGTTCTCCGAAGTCGCGCTTGACTTGCAGGTCTTGCCGGCGAAAGTAGACGTCGTTGAAGCCCCAGACGGGGGCGGAGAGGACGAGGTCGTACCCCATCTCGCCTCGCATCGTCATCATCGCGAGCCAGACGCCCCTGGACGCGGCGTCGCCCGCAGCCCAGCCTTTCCTCGTGCCGTTGTTCGGATAATGCCGGAAACACCGCAGCCTGAACGTTCGAGTCGAGTCGCGCGTTCGTTCGTTAAGTTCATTTCATTCATTCGTCAGCGGGAGTCGGTTTCGAGTCGAGCGATCGAACGGAAAGGAAAGGAAAGGAAAGGAAAAGGAAAGCGAGAGGTCGGTCGACGGGTCGTCGAGCGAGTTGTTCTGGTCGTTCGCTCAATATCGCACCCCGCGCCGTCCGCGAACGCGTTCGAGACCGCGTTCGCCACCTCCCTTCGTCCGCCCCCGAGCATCGCCGTCGCCACCGCCGCGACGGCGACGCGGGTCATCATGATGTGATCCACTCCGATCTGATTCAGCGAGTTCTCCAGCGCTAAGATCCCAACCACCTCGTACGCCTTGATCGCGTTCACGACGACGTCCTTCATCGTCAGCGACGGCAAGTTTCTCTCCATGCGCACCCTCGAGAGGTACTCCGCGAGCGGCAAGATCGCGCCCACGACGTCCGACGGGTGCACCCACTCCGCGCCGAGCCACGCGTCGTTGTAGTCCAGCCATCGCGTCGCCGTCGCGCACCCGTGCGCGGCCGTCACCGGGTCGACGTCGTGCGTCGTCCCGATGACGTGCGCGCCGTGCTTGACCGCGGCGCCCGGGACGATCGGGCCGAGGAGCTTGACGCACTCGGGGTAGTTGAGCGACAAGAGCGCGCATCCGACCGCGTCTAAGATGGCGTATCGCGCCGTCTTGACCGCGGCGCGGGAGGAGACCTCGTACCCGACGACGTAGTCCGCGATGTCGAGCAGGAGCTGGTCCGTGCCGTAGTCCGCCATGGGACGGAGCGACGGAGCGACGCGCGCGGGCGCCGCGCGTCCGCCTTTGCATTTCCTCTCGCAGGCGCTCCGACGAAAAAACCTGAAAAATGAAACGGCTGGATTTATGCAGCGCTGAGGGTCGTTCATCGGTCAGTTGAAAGGGGGAGCGATTAAATGTTGAAAGGGAGCGGTGGGTGAAAAGCGTTTGCACAAAAAAAATACCAACCCGTCCCGTCACCGCCTCCCTTCGCCTCCCTCCTCCGCACTCGACGACGCGCGCGCGCCGCCGCTCCACCTCGCGCCGCGTCGCCGTCGCCGCGTCGTCGCTGGCCATGGCGCGTCGCGCTCGCGCCGCCGCGCCCGCGGAGCGCGACGCGTCGCGCCCCGGCGTGCGTTCCCGCGGCGCTGGCGCAGCGGTGCGCGGTGGCGCGGCGGCGCGCGCGCGTCGTCGAGTGCGGCGGAGGGAGGCGACGTCCGCGACGACCGCCCCCGCCGCCGCCGCCTCCGCGATCGAGCGCAACGCCGTGACCGACGACGCCGCGGACATCACCGCGGCGGCGTCGTTCGCCTACGCGTCGTCGCCGTCCACGCCGCTCACCGCGCTCGGGTCGAACGTCGTGCCGGGCGCGGTGCACTTCGCGACCTACTGCGACGAGTCGAACGTCGCGTTCCACGAGGGGAGGTGCGTGCCGTGTGATGAGTGAACCGCAACGACCGCGTCGTTCACCGGTCGCTCGGGGTCAACGACCGCGTCGTTCACCGGTCGTTCATCGGTCTCGACGTTACGTTCGATCGCGTGGGTCCCTTTCGACTGACCGACGCGTTTCGTTTCTCTCGCGCGCAGCTTCGAGCTGCCGAGCGCCGTCGGCGCCGTGCGCGCGGCGGCGTCGCGCGGCGCGCGCGTCGTCCTCGGGACCGGACAGAGGTGCGTTCTATGCAAACGTACTGTACTGTATTTCACCCATCGGTCGGTTACGGTTTCGGTTTCAACACTCGATCGCATCTCCAATCAACTGACCGATGAACGTTTTTTATCGTACGGAACGACCCTCACCGCGCAGCCCCGGGGTGGTGTTTCCCGTGGGGGACGTGAGCGGAGGCGTGCGCGGCGAGGGCGCGGACGTCGACGGCGGGTTCGTCCGCTTCCGAGCGGGCGAAGACGTCTTAGCGTGCGCCACCGCCGGAACAGAGCTCTCATCAGACGCGACGAACGGCGCCGCGTCTTCTCGCGACGTCTTCCTCTTCGCGACGTGGACCGCGCCGGCGACGATCGTCAAGGCGCGTTCACACTGGTCCCCATACGACCGCGTCGGCGATGTGAACGCCGATTCTTGAGGACTTTCTTTCTCTCTCGGCGTGTCTCTCCGCCCATCTCACGGTTTCGACGCCCGATGTCGGCGCCTTTCAACTCCGTTCTTCGTTTCGTTTTGACGATTGGTATCGGCTCTATCAATATCGTCAAGTTCGCGGTGGACGCGGCGACGAACAGTCTAGAGCGCGCGGACAGCGCGGTGATGCCTCCGGGGGTGGACTACGTTCGGTCCGCCGTCGCCGCCGCGGACGGGACGCACTCGTACTTCGCCACGGACACGTCGCCGGCGGTGATCGCGAAGGTTCGACATTCAGACCTCGCGTTGGTGGACGTGCTCGTGCTGGACGGCGGCGGGGAAGGCGCGTTCTTACACTGGTCCCCATACGACCGCGTCGGCGTTGTGAACGTCGATCCTTAAGGATTTTGATAATTGGTATCGGCTCTATCAATATCGGCTCTACTGTATCACTCGAACGTCGGTCGTTCGGTGACGATTGCTTTCCGCGCGCGCGTTCCGCGTCTCGGCGAATCGTCGTTTCTCACGGACCGCCGCGCGCGCGTCGCTCGTTTCTCTTCGCTTCTCAGGACGAAACGGAAGCGCCGCCGCGTCGTACGTGCGCGCCGGGGCGATGCGCCCGGACGGACGCGCGTCGTATTGGGCGACGCACGAGTCCCCGTCGAAGATCATCAAAATCGCGCACGACGACGACGACGCCTCGGATCAAAGCGGCGGATACGTCCCCACGATGTTCTTCCGCGGCGCGTTCATCGGCGACGCCGCGCTGGGCGAGAGCGACGCGTACAGCGTCCTCGCGGACGACGCGAACGCGCACCGCGTGTACGTGGGGTACAGCAGCTCGAATCCGCGCGAGCGAGGCGCGGCGGCGACGGCGTTCGTGGACGAGAGCGCGGAAGACGACGACGACGACGCGAGCGCTTCTTCGTCCGCGTCGTTTTCGTTTCGACGGCTCGACGCGCTGTCGGCGAACGCGCGCGTGCCCAACGCGCGCGCGCTGCTCGCGACGCGGTCGAACGATGGCGTGGCGTTCTACGCGACGCGGTCGAGACCCGCGGCGATCGTCGCGGTGGATCACGCGGGGGCGGGACGCGGCGACGCCTTCGACGTCGACGACGACGGCGGCGGCGCCGCCGCCGCCGCGAACGACACGCGGACGTGCGTCGATTACGTGGACGTCGCGCACGTCCGCGCGCCGCTCGCGCGCGACGCGATCGTCCCGCGCGAGCTCGCGTCGCTCTCCATGACGCTCACTCCCGCCGCCATGAACGCCGCGATAGAGTCGGCGACGGTCTCGCTCGCGTTCGATCCGACGCGAACGAACCTGACGCTCGCTGACGTGACGCTGACGCTCACGTCCCCGAGCGGCGACGAGACGACGTTGTTCCTTGGCACGACCTCGGACGGCGCGTACGTCCCGGGGCTCCGCCTCTCCCGCGCGACGTTCGCGCTGGTCGCGTCTAATTCGTCGTCGTCTTCGTCCTCCGCCGCTCAAACCGTGCGGTCTTTCCCGAGGGTTCCTCGGCTGTCGCCCGTCACGTTGGACCCGCTACCCGAGCTGCGACGCGTGGTGGACGACGCGAAGGAGACGTGGGAGGACGCGTACGAGGGCACGTTCGCGGTGCACGACGCGTTTCGGCGCGAGGGGGTGCCGCAGAGCGAAGTGGGCGATTGGCGGTTGACCGTGCGCGCGGACGGCGACGGCGACGGCGCGGAGGTCGAGGTCGGGCGCGTGCTGTTCTGGAGCGTCGCGGCGTGCGGCGCCGCCGCGATCGATCAAGCTATGAGCGTCTAGTACGTGTAGGCGAAGTGATCGCTCACCTCCTCCGCGATCGCGACGCCTCTGTCGTACAACCCCCCCACCAGCGGGATCGGTCGCAGCGCTCTTCCCACGGCGTTCATCACGGGCAACGTCGCGCGGTCGAACATCGGGGACCGGAGCCAGTAGTAGAGCAAAAACGCGCGTCGCCTGGCCATCTCGAACCGCTCCGCTTCGCTAAAGTCTTCCCCGCGCGCGCCGCCCGCGGCCTCGTGGCACGCGAACGAGCAGACGTCCATCGTCGCGGACAGCGCGAACGGCGTCCACGACTTGTTCCCGAACTTCCGTCGCGCGCACGCGTAGACGAGCGGGCGGAAGATGTGCAGGTACTCGCCCGCGATCTTCAGCGTGATTTTCGCCTTTTCGCGCGCGTAGACGTCGTGCACGGACGTCCCCGGCGGCGGCGGCGGCGTGTGGTACGGGCGCGTCATCCGCGCGATCTCCATCGCTTCCCTCTCGTGGATCGTGTGGAGGTTGAAGTCGTGCAGCGATCGCAGCGCGATCGACGCGCGGTGTTCGAGCGCCGCGCGAGGGTGCGGCGGCGGACCCGCGGCGGGAGGAGGCACGTCGGATTCGGCGGCGGCGGCGGCGGATTCGGCGTCTCTCTCGTCCCCGATGATGGCGCCGCGTCGCCTTCGCGCCGTCATCTCTCGCCGCGCGCCCTCCATGCGTTCCAGGTCCTCCTCCGCTTCCTCGCCGAGCTGCTCTCGCGCGCACCCGTCGTCGAGGAGGAGCTTTCCGCGCTGTCGCCGAAACAGCGCCGTCTTCATCGCGGCTTTGACCGCCTCCGCCGCCACGACGGATCGCTCGAGTCGATCGACGTCGTCGCCGATGATGAATGGGGGGCGCTCCTCTTCGTCTCCTCTTCGCCCCTCGCGCCGCCGAATCCGCCGCGCCGCGGTCCGCCGCTTCGCGAGCATCTCGGACAGGACCTCGACCTGGGAGATGAGCGACAGCGCGAGCGGGAGCGCGACGGGGGTCGCCTCCGCGAGCGCTTTCGCGCGCGCGCGCCATCGCTCGACGAACCCTCCCCCCGACGCGCTCGGAGCGTTCGACGCGGCATCGTCGTTCTCATCCTCCTCCTCCTCGTCGTCGCTGTCCCTCACGAGGTGTTCGTTCATCGTCGCGAACACCCCGACCGCGCTGGACGCCGCCTCCGCGTAGACGTCCGCGTCGTCGCCGTCGGGCGTCAGCCACGTCAGCCCCGCGGCGGCCTGCTCGACCACCGCGATGAGCGCGCGGTTCCTTCGAACGAACGTCCGGTATCGCTTCACGATGCTGATGGTCGTCGTCCCGCGAGTACTTTGAGGTTTCGTCGTCGGCGGCGACGCGCGCTCTCGCGAGATACCGTCCCTCTCGCCGTTCCCGTCGCCGTCGCCGGGGGCGTCTTCGGAGAGCGTCGCCATCTTCGCTCTCCGCGCGGGCGGCGAGCGCCCGGGGATCGACGAGTGTGACTGAGAATTCTCGGCGGTTGACGCGACTCATCGATGCCATATATTCCGTCCGTGCTTACAGTGCAAGTTCACCGGTCAGTTGACAGGGGACGCGATCAAATGTTGAAACCGAGGCACGGGTGAAAAACGCTCCATCGCGCTCGACCGCACAGCAGCAGCACTTCACCTCCGCGCGGCGTCTACAGCACCTCTGTCCTCGAGCGCGCGCGCGTCTCGCGACGACCGACGGAACGCCATGCCGACGACGTCCTCCGCGTCGTCGCCGCGGCCACCGCCGCGCGTCTTCGACGGCGCGGTCAAGACGGACGCGTCGTCGCGACCGACCGCCGCGGCGTCGTCGTCGAGCGATCGTCGCGTCGTCTTCGGAACGTTATCCTCCGCGCGCGCGCGCGCGCCTCGCGCGGCCGCGCGCCTCGCGCCGCCGCGGCGTCGCCCCGCGACGTCGTCGTCCGCGACAAAATCCGCGCTCTTCGCCCCCGACGCGGCCGTGGACGTCAACGGCGTCGACCTCGACGCCTTCGAGCGCTTCGTGTGCGAGATGCAAACCTCAGTGTGCGCGGACCTGGAAGCCATCGACGGCTCCGACGCCGCGCGGTTCACGACCGACGCGTGGACGCGCGACGGCGCCGGATCCGGCTTCGGCGTGACGCGCGTGCTCGAGGGCGGCGACGTGTTCGAGAAGGCGGCCGCGAACGTGAGCATCATACGAGGCGAGCTGTCTCCGGCGCGCGCGGCGGCGATGAGGCGCGTCCACGTTTAAGATGTTTACACTGGTCCCCATACGACCCCGTTCGCGTCGTGAACGCCGTTCCTTAAGAAGGAAGGACTTCTTTCGCGCGCTAGTAGCTAGGATGTCAACCAACCTCACGTTTTGACACGTGGCGATTACTTCCACCAATCGCGTTCCCGAATCACTGACACGTGTCTTCCCCCGACCAATCCAATCGAACGCCGCCACTTGTCAGCGGCCGCGGGCGCGCCGAGATCGATCCCGCGGGGGGCCAGAAATACGCCGCCGCCGCGCTGTCGCTCGTGTTCCACCCAACGTCGCCGATGGTCCCAACGTTCCGCGCGGACGTCCGGCGGTTCGCGGTCGAGGGCGCGGGCGACGGGTGGTACGGCGGCGGCGCGGACCTCACGCCGTACTACCTCTACGAAGACGACGCGCGCGAGTTCCACGCGAGCTGGAGGGAGCTGTGCGACGCGCACGACCCGAGCGTTGATCCGAGCGTCTTCGACATGTGCGCGGCGGAGACCGGGGGGCTGGGTGGGGCGCTGCACGCGCGGTGTAAGCGGTGGTGCGACGAGTACTTTTACATCCCCGCGCGCGGGGAGCACAGGGGCGTGGGGGGCATCTTTTTCGACGACATGGAGGCGGGCGGTTCGCCGGAATCGGACGCGTCGGCGGAATCGCCGCAAAGGAAGGCTGTCGTGGCGAGAGACCCCGAGGCGTTCACGCGCGCGGTCGCGAAGAACTGGATCGCGTCCTACGCGCCCATCGTGAAACGGCGACGCGGGGAGCGTTACGGCGACGTCGAGGAGCGGTGGCATCATCAGCGGAGAGGGCGGTACGTCGAGTTTAACCTCCTGTACGACCGCGGCGTGAAGTTCGGTTTGGACGGCGGACGAGTGGAGAGCATCATGGTCTCCGCGCCGCCGCGCGTGCGGTGGGATTACAACGTGGCGCCGGAGAAAGGGTCGAGGGAGGAGAATCTCGTGGAGGTTTTGCGGAACCCGCGGTGCTGGTAGCGAGAGCGATTTCGCGTTTTAAAACGAGTCTACGAGTCTACGCGCGCGCGCGTCTCAGTGCGTCTTCGCGCTCGGGGAGCTGTACACGACGAGCTTCCGCGCGACGGTCGCGATCGCCATCGGCACGAACGCGCCGACGATCTCGAGCATCAGCTCCGTCGCGACCACCGCGGGGTACGCCCTCCCCGGTCGGACTCGAATCACCTTTCCCACCGCGTTCGCCGCGGTCCACGCCGTGGATTCGTCCTGCGGCGAGAACGCGCGCGCGGCGACGCCGCCGGCGAGGTTCAAGATCCCGAGGCACGTGATCACCTGCGCGGCCGGCGTTTAGGGTTAGGGGTAGGGTAAGTGGGGTTAGGGTTCGAGCGAGAGACGCGCCCGCCGCGAGGAGGGCGGGCGGAGACCGCGGATCGGATCGATCGGACGGAAAAAAGAATCGAATCGTTTTTCGAATCGAATATAATCCATCGCTCGCTCGCCTTGGTGATCCCTCCCAGCCATCGCGCGTTCAGCTTGTTCCCGCGCACGTGCGCGTGCGCGGCGAACGTCAGCGCGAACCCCACGAACGCGCACGCCGCGAACGGCGTCCCTCGCCCGTTTGCCACGTCCGCCTTGTTCATCACGATCGGACCGACGTAAAACATCAGCTGCGCCGGGAAGTAGACGAGCAGGAGCGACAGGAGGCGCTTGCATCCCGCGCGCGCGTCCGCCGCGCGCTGGTACTTGGAGTCCACGGTCTGACGGAACGCGAAGTCGCTGCCGTCCGTGCCCGCGGCGCGCGCGCCCGCCTTGGACGCCATCGCGCGCGGGGACGGCGCGTGGGGATCTGCGGGCGCGCCCCGCGCGGCGCGTCGCGTTTCTCGTCAACGACCGCATCGCCGCGTCGAACCCGCTGGAACCGGGCCGCGGCCGGGCGCGACGTTTCGCGTCGTCGGAACGAAAATGGAAACGCGCGACGGACACACCATGCCGCGCGCGAGGCTGTCCGCGGCCGCGCGTCGCCGCGCGGCGTCGCTCGAGCTCAAACGCCGCCCTACGCCGCCGTCGCCGCGAAAGCCGACGCTGGCGGAGCAGTGCGACGCCGCGCGCGCCGCCGACGGCGACGTCTACATCGCGTGCGGATCCGCGCGGATGTCGTTTCGATCGCTCCTCCTCCTGCGCGTGTGCTTCGACGAGTGCGACGTCGACGGCGACGGGCTGCTGGACCCCGACGAGCTCTCCAAGGCGTTCTTCGACGGCGATTCAACCCCCGGCGGCGGCAAAAGAGCGGACGACGACCGCGCGACGACCGAGCGAGCGGTCGTCTTCGCGCGCGCGGATCGACCGACGCGCCTATCGTTCGCGGACGTGCTGCGTTGCGTCCACCCGCGGCTGACGCGCGCGTCCTCCGCCGCGCTCGCGGCCGCGATCGCGCCGCCGACGACGAGAGAGGAGACGGCGTGCGACGAGGCGGAGGAGGCGAAGGTGGATCAGTTCTTCGCGCTCGTGGACGAGGACGGGAGCGGGGAGATGGACGTGCACGAGTTCAGGTGCTGCGCGCGCGCTTTCATCTCTTTGAGTGTCCGGTTCGTATTCACCCGCTGGTTTCGACTATCGACGTTCGATCGCGACGTCTTTCAACGCTCACCGATGAACTTCGTTTCTTCCTTTCAAATCGCCTCTCGTCGTAAATAGGGACATGCTGAGACGGATGGGGATCACGGAGAAGGAGGAGCAGGACGCGTTCTTTCACGAGATCGACGAGGACGGCGGAGGGACGGTGAGCTTGGACGAGTTCAAGGACTGGTGGTTCGGCGTCGGCGACGACGACGGGTGATGACCGGCGAGGTGACTCGACGGCGTCGGTCGTCGTCATCGTGCTGCGAATTTTGTATAAGATATGATGCTCAGACTATGTTACGCTACACGTATCCTATAACTATGATCTGCGAACGCGTCGTCACCCCGACCGCCACACGACCGTCCGCCGCCTTCCCTCCCCCTCGGTCAGCGCGCTCGTCGCCGCGGTCTCGACCACGTACGCCGCGACCTTCTCCATGCGCCCGCCGCCCCATCCGGGCTTCGGCGCCCACCCCTCTCGCCGCGACGGATCCCCGAGGAGCGTCGTCGGCGGTCGACCTGAATGCCATTCAATACATACAGTAGGTCAGTTGAAAGGAGACTCGATCAAGTGTTGAAACCGAGCTACGGGTGAAAAACGTTTGTATAGTAGAACGCACCGGAGGCGCTCGCCGCCGCCGCCGCCGCGGCGCCGAGCCACGCTTGAAACGCGTCGGATAAGCCCTTCACGAAGCACACGTCCCCGGCCATGACGACGTCGAACGACGCGATGAGCGAATCAACGCTCGGGTCGCGAAGCAGCAAGTTCTCCCAGGACGTGCGAAGGACGCACGGTCCGTCTGATGAGGGTCGAGGGTCGTTCCGTCGTTCAATAAAGCGACGTCGGGGCGGAGTCGAAAGGCGACAGACGCGGGAGGAGTCGTGAGGCGTCGAAAGTCCTTAAGAAACGGCGTTCACCACGCGAACGCGGTCGTATGGGGACCATTCAGTGTGAAACGAGGACGCGCCCGAGAGACCGCACAGCCGCGCGTTGGCGCGAAACGCCACGGACGCCAACGGATCGACGTCGTTCGCCGTCACCTCAGCCGCGCCCGCCGCCGCTGCCGCGAGCGCGGCGACGCCGCATCCGCTGCCGACGTCCAGGACCCTCTTCCCCGCGACGCACTCCGGGTTGTCGAGCACGTACCGCGCGACGCCCTGCCCCCCCGCCCACGGCACGGCGAAGTAGGGAGGGTGCAGCTCGGGTCGCGACGACGAAGAAACCGACGACGACGCATCCGACGAATCCGACGATGAATCCGACGACGCGCTCGCCGCGACGAACGACTCCACGCGCTCCCACAGCTCCAAGATGTCGTCGCCGCGGTTCACGAGGTACATCGGCAGCTCCGGGACGAGCTCGCACGGGCGCGGCGCGACGAGATCCGCGGCGGTGACGAGCGCGATCGTGTCGGGGGTGTCGACGCCGAGGATGGCGCCGTGGCGCGCGTCCCACCCGTCGCCCATGGCGACGTCGGACGGGGAGGGCGACGATACCGCGCGCGTCGCCGTCGTCGTCGCGCCGCGGCGGATCGTCGTCGTCGCCGCGCGGGCGTCGCGCGGCGGGGGTGAAGAAGACGCCCAGAGCCGCGGAGGCGGTCATGGCGCCGCGATGAAAAGTGAACGCGAACGCGCGAAGACGCGAGCACTCGTCGAAATGTCCACAACGTCCGCCGCCACAACGCGAGCGCACGACCGCGCGGCACCCCTCGTCGTCATCGCGTCGAAATGGGCGAGGGATACAAACGCGGCCACGACGGCGGCGGCGGAGGCGGCGGCCACAGAAAGAAGGGGAAGTGGTTCGGTCACGTGCGTCTGCGCTTCGGTCGCCCCTCCCGTCGTCGTCGTCCGTCGTCGGCGCCGATCTCCGCGACGACGATCCGCTCATCGATTTCACCGCTCGATCGATCGATCCCTCGCCGACCTCCGTCGCATCTCACACTGGTCCCCATACGACCGCGTTCGCGTGGTGAACGCCGATCCTTAAGGACTTTGTACCTCCCTCCCCCCTCCATTCGCGCGCCCTCCAGGTCGTCTCCAACGCCGCGATCCCGTACGGCGCCGCCGGCGTCGTCGTGACGTGCGACAAGGGCAAAGAGAAGCACGCGGTCCGCGACGTCATCCGATACGTGAACGAATCCTACGAGACGCTCGTCCCGTCCGCGAGACGAGACGAGCGACACGACGAACGCAAGAACAAGTCGGAGGGGGACGTCTCGGACGCGCTCGAGGCGGAGCTGCGAGCGCTGAAGGAGGAAGGCGGCGACGGAGACGGGAAGGTGGAAGGCGGAGACGGGGACACGGAACGTCGACCGTCGCGCGACCGGTTCAAGGCGCTCAAGCTGGACTTTCGCGCGTGCGCGTTCATTCAGGCGCGTCCTCGGAGCATCACACTGGTCCCCATACGACCGCGTTCGCGTCGTGAACTTCATTCCTTAAGGAAGGACTTTCTTCTCTCCCGGCGCATCTCTCCGCCGACCCACCCCTCGGTTTCAATCCCTGCCATCTACGCCTTTCAAGTCCACCCCTGACGCCTTTCGACTCCGCCCCGACTGGCCCAGATGGACGCGGAGGCGGCGAAGAAGTGCCCGCCGTCCGCGCTCGTCCGACACTTGCTGACGCGGACGAAGACGGAGGGATACCCGCGGAGTCGGCACGCGATGCGGATCGTCCCGGTCGACGCCGTGTGCTTCGCGGGGATGGAAGAGATCAAGAAGGCGGTCGAGCCGTTCGTCGCGAAACACTTTCCCGCGGGGGCGAAGGAGGAGGAGAAAAAGACGTTTGCGATTCAGGCGAGATCTTATATATCTTTTGACCGCTTCCCAGCCTCACGTCGAAATACCACGTGTGCATGGCGTCCACCAATCGCGTGCCCGCGTGACTGACGCGCGTCTTCCCTCGACCAATCACATCGCGTGCAGTTCGCCGCGCGCGCCAACAACGCGTTGAAGCGGATGGACGTCATCGACGCCGTCGCGCCGCTCGTGCCGAAACCCCACGGCGTCAGGTGCGTTCTATACAAAAGTTTTTCACCCATTGTCCGGTTTCAACATTTGATCGTGTCCCCTTTCAACTGACCGGTGAACCGTTTTTGTATGGAATGGCCCTCAGCTTGGAGAAGCCGGACCTCGCGATCATGGTCGAGATCATGAAAGGCGCGTGCTGCCTCTCCGTCGTGGAGGAGTACTTCGAGCTCTTCAAGTATAACATTCGCCTGTGTGGGATGACGGAGGAGGAACGCGTCGCGGAAAAGTCGAGGTGAGTTCTATCTCACACTGGTTCCCATACGACCGCGTTCGCGTTGTGAACGCCGATCCTTAAGGACTTTTCCCGGCGTGTCTCTCCGCCCAGGGTCCCTCGCGTTCAGTCCCCGCCCTCGACGCCTTTCAACTCCACCGTCGCCCCGTTCAAAAGCTGACTGGTCCTCGTACGACCGCGTTCGCGTCGTGAACTTCATTCCGTGAGGACTTTCTCTTCTCCCGTCTTCACGCTTCACCCCGCGACGTCAACCCTTTCAACGCGCGACTGACCCATCGTTCACCCCGCGTTCCCTGTCGCCATCGATCAGGTCCAACCCGAACGCGCCCGGGTGGATGCCGTCGCAGACGAAGCTGGAGGCGATCGCGGAGGCGGCGCGGGGGGCGCCGATAGAGAACAAGGCGGATCCCTCGGAGAAGGAGGAGGAGGACGAGGCGGACGACGAGAAGGCGGACGACGAGAAGGCGGAGGCGGCGGCGGAAGAGAAGCCCGCCGAGGAAGAGACGGAGACGCCGAAGAAGGACGAGTGATGAATGAGAGGAACGAACGGCGACCTTACCTTTCTTTCGCGCCGCGAGTATCGTCGCGATCCTACCTACTACGGTGATGATCGATGATCGCTAGTACAGTACTTTCGTACTTTCGTACGTCACGCTAGCTAGTGAGCGCTCTCTCTCTCCGGCGGGTCCCACGACGTCTCCGCGCCGTTCGAGTAGTACACCTCTTTCCCCGCGACGTCGTAGAACGCGCGCCATCCGCGCGGCAACGGCGCGGTGAGCGCGGCGAGGTCCACCCCCGCCGCCGCCGCCGCCGCGTCGGCGGCGGCGGACGTCGTCGTCGTCGTCGTCGTCGTCGTCGTCGCCTCCGCCGTCGTCGCCGCGTTCTCCTCGCCGCCGTCGCCGCCGCTCTCGTGCCGCTCGCGCTCGCGCCGCCGCCGCGCCGCGGCCGCGCGCTCGCGCCAGTCCCCGGCGACGGGCGCGAAGTTCGGGTTCGCCGCCGCCGCGTCGCCCGAGCGCAGCTGCGCGTCTCGCCACGCGTCGATGTCCTTCGACGACAACGCGCCGGCGAATCGCGACGCCTCCTCCGCCGCGCGCGCCTCCTCCGCCTCTCTCGACACCGCTTTCCATCGCTCGAGCTCCCTCGTGTCGAGCTTCTTGGACACTCGGCGCGCGTCGACGGCGAGCGCGACCGTCGCGGCGGCGGCGCGGTGCTTCGTGCGTCGCCCGAGGTGGGTCGGGTCGTACTCGAGTCGCGGCGGCGGCGGCGGCGGCGGCGGCGGCGACGACGCGCGCTCCGGCGGCGGCCGCGGCGGTTTTTCGACGACGCTGACGGGCGGTCTCTGGATCTGTGGACTCCCCCGGGTCTTCACCGGCGCGATGCCGACGCCCGCGGCGTCGACCGCGGGCGCGACGTCCGCGGCGACCCCCACCCCCGCGAAATTCCCTCGCCTCGACGCCAGCCCCGCGCGCACTCTCGCGCGGAGCGTCTCTTGAATCTTAGCCGCCGCCGCCGCCGCGTCCGTCGCGCTGAGCGGCGCCGTCGCCGTCGCCGTCGCCGTCTTCGCCTCGCCCACGGTGCACTCCGCCGCGCGCTCGCCGCCTCTCGCCGCCGCCGCTGGATCAGCCGCGGCGTCGTGCGCGTCGATCGCGGACGGCAGCCGTCTCGCCAGCGACTCGACGGACGCGCGGCGCGCGGCTTCCGTCGCCTCCGACGCGACGCCGCCGTCCCCAACGCGCCTCCACTCCTCGATCTTCGACTCGAGCGCGATCGCGAGGACCGCGAGCGGTGGGATCGACGCGATCGTCGCGCGGAGCGTCGGCGCGGCGGCGCGCGCTCGGCGCAGGAGGTCGGTCGCGGCGTCGAGCGCGGAAGCCGCGCTCGCCGCGTCTTCGTCTTCTTCTTCGCACTCCTCCGCGCGCTTCGCATTGATGCCGGCGTCGTCGTTCACCGCCTTCGTCGTCGTCGTCGTCGCGGTCGCCGCGTCCGAAGCTTCGCGCTTCGGCAGCGTCCACGACACCGCGCCCGTGACCTGGTTCCAGTAGTACTCGTGCCGCGTGTTAGCGTCCGTGAGCTTCTTCCACGGACGCGGCGGGCCCGACGCGTCGCCGTCGCCGTCGTCGTCGTCCGATCCGTCGGCGTCGGCGTACCGTCCGAGCAGCCCCGCCAGCGCGTTCGCGCCCTCCGCGTTCCCTCCGTCGCCTCCTCCTCCTCCTCCTCCTCCTCCTCCTCCGGACGCGGCGTTTTCGGCGGCCTGTCGCGCCTTCTTCGCCGCGATGGCCGCGGCGATGGGGTCGTCGTCGCGCCCGTCGTCGTCGCCGCCGACGCCGCCGTAGTCGAATCCGATCGCGTTGTACGACGCCGACGTCGTCGTCGCCGCCGCCGCGCGGTCGCTGAGGTCGACCCTCGCGCGGCGTCGCCCGAGGCCGGGGATATCTTCCGCGTTGTCGCGCCCGCGCTTGCCCATCGCGACGCGAAGGCGCGACGGGGGGGGGGGGGAGGCGTCGAGTGCGAGCGCGACGACGGAGTTGTAACTTTTGGTTTTCGCTTTCGTGCCGAAAATAAAAATTGGCACGCCGTCATCACAACTCAAAATACTCTGCGAGCGCGAGTCGCGACGCGCGGCGGAACGCGTCCCGACGCCTCGAGCGATCATCAGCCGACGCGACGTTCGAGTGTCCTTCGAACTATCGTCGCGCGGCGTCACCTCTCGCTTCGCGGCCGTCGGGCGCGTCGGCGCTCCCTCGCGACGGAGGGAGCGCCCGAGCCCCCGCGCTCGCGGCGTCCTCGCCCTTTTTTAGTTTTTACGGTATACCGCGTATACCTCCGTACTCCTTCCGTCCTTCATCAACCGTCGCGGCGCTCGCGGCGGTCTCTACGAGGATCAGGACATGAACGCGGTCCCGCCAGCCTCGAGCGCCGCGTCCGGCGCGCGACGAAACCACCGCTTCGAGTGCGCGTCCGTGCCCTCGTCGTACGGACGCCGCGTCGCGTCGAAGAGGTCCTGATGAAAGAGGGTCGTTCCATCGTTCAAAGCGACGAATGTCGGGGTGGAGTTCATAGGCGTCAGAAGCGGAGTTGAAAGGCATCGCGGTCGGGCGTTGAAAGCGTGGGGTGGGAAGAGAGAAACGACGGACGGCAAAAGTACTTAAGGATCGGCGTTCACCACGCGGACGGGGTCGTATGGGGACCAGCGTGAGATACATAGAACGCGCCTGAGCGACGCCGAAGTCGTTCGACCGCTTCGCCGCGTCGTAGGCTTCCACGAGCATCCACTCTCGCAGGACGTACTTCGGGTTCGCCGCGCGCAGGCGTTCGACGACGCCGTCGACGCCGCCGTTACTCTCCGCGTCCGCCAGCACCGCTGACCGCCACGCGCGCAGGAACGCGCGCCACCGCTTCGCTTGCTCTTCGTCCGGCGCGGCGTAAAATGCGTCCGACGTCGGCGCCATGACCTTCGCGTCGTCCGACACATCCTCGTCCGACAGTTTCACAACCCCGGACAGGTTACGGAACAGGACGATATAATCTACCTCGCTCTCCGCCATCAGCGGCTCTAACGTCTCCTCGTACATATCGCTCGCGGTCTCGGCGTCGTAATCCTCGGAGAAGCCGAGCTTGGCGCGTCGGACGTCGGACACCGCTTCGTCGAAATAGAGCCGCGCCTCCGCGACGAGCGCGTTCGCCTCTTCGTCCCCGTCCCGCAGCAGCGGCGCGACGCTCGAGGCGAGGACGGCGAAGTTGGCGAGGCCCGCGGCGGGCTGATTCGCGAACGCGAAGTGCTCGCCCGAGCCCGTCCACTTCGCGAAGAGCGGGTCGTACTTCGGGTCGACGGTCCCGTTCAAAGCGACGAACGTCGGGGTGGAGTTGAAGGCGTCAGATATGGGGTTGAAAGGCGTCGAGGTGTGTGCGTCGGGGTCGAAACCGAGGGGTGGGTGGTGGGTGGAGTGAAACGAACGCCGGGAGAGAAAGTCCTTAAGGATTGAAGATCACAACGCGAACGCGGTCGTATTGGGACCAGTCAGCGCGGGGACATGAGGCGCCATGTAAGGCGCGATGATAGAATAGAACGCGCCTTATCCACGAACCCGAACGGGCCGTAGTCCATCGTTCTCCCGCCGACGAGGCAATTGTCCGCGTTGAAGTTCCCCTGGCAGAACCCCACGCGGAGCCACCCGGCGACCATCGTCGCGAGGGCCCGCGCGGACGCGCGGAGGAACGCCGCGGCAGCCTCGGGCGGCACGCCCGGCGCGTCCTCGATCGTCTTCCACACCTGGTGGAGTTGAAAGGCGTCAGGTGGAGTTGAAAGGCGCCGAGGACGGGGATTGAAAGCGAGGGGTGGGCGGAGAGATGCGCCGGGCAAAGTCCTTAAGGATCGGCGTGCACCACGCGAACGCGGTCGTATGGGGACCAGTGTAACGATCGACTTCCACACCTCCGGGAACTCTCGAAAGATGGCGTGCCTCACGATCATCTCGAGCTCCGCGTGCGCGTCGCTGTTCTTCCCCGCCCTGATCGCGCGCCGCGCGAACAAGTCGACGTGCCCGACGCGCGTGAACGAAGGCGCGACGCGCGTCGTGATCGCGCAGCTCTCTTCGATCATGACGTCCGGGTCGCGTTTCTTCGCCTGGCCGTTCATCTGTCGCACAATCTGTCGCCGCGTCGCGGGCGGGAACTTCGCCAGCCGCGGATCGTCCTCGGTGAGCATGCCCGCGAACATCCCTGCGATGCGATGCGATTCAATTGGTTGGTCGGGGGTGGACGCGCGTCAGCGAATCGTATGTTTTACTGATGACCACGAGTCAAAACGTGAGGTCGACGCGCGACGCGCGAACGGGGACGCGTTGGGACCAGACCGGGAAACGACCAAACGTACCGCCCTTCTTGTCGCTCTTCGGGTTGTACCACGGCCGACGGACCGTGTCCCCGCCGTCGCTCACGACGAGCGACAGCGCGCGCGTCGTGCTCACCCCGAGCGCGTGCATCGCTTCGGACGCGAGGAACTCTCGAACGGACGAACGTAGCACCGCGCGGCCGTCGCCGCCGCGGCAAAACGGCGTCGTCCCGCCCCCCTTGAGCTGCATCTCCCACCGCGTCCCCGTCTTCTCGTTGACGATCTCCCCGACGCTCACCGCGCGCCCGTCGCCGTAGCCGTTCCCCGTCCCGAACGGGCAGTTCGACGACTGCCGCTGCCCCATGATCGCGAGCGCGTACGGCGTCGCCCACGACTCCATCCCCGGCACCGCCGCGGCGTCGCCGCCGAAGAAACGCGCGAACGTCTGGGTGGAGTTGAAAGGCGTCAGAAGCGGAGTTGAAAGGCGCCGAGGGCGGAGAATGAAAGCGAGGGACCCTGGGCGGAGAGATGCGACGGGAAAAGTCCTTAAGGAACGGCGTTCACCACGCGAACGGGGTCGTATGGGGACCAGTGTGAGATCAGATAGAACGCACCTCAGACTTGGCGTCCTCTTCGTCGATGCCCAGCTCCTCGAGCATGTCCGGCGATACCAGCGCGAGGCGCGGCTTTCGCAGCGGCGTCGGCGCGACGCGGACGTAGTGACCGCTGAAGACCTGCCGCGAGCTCTTGTTCGGGTCGTGCTTCGGCGCGTCCGGGTCCTCGCGGAGCTGCCACACCCACGAGTGATCCGCGCGGTCGCCGAGCGTGAGCACCGAGGGTCCGTCGACGCCGGGGCCCGACGGCGCGGCGCCGCCGCCGAGGCCGGACATGTTGAACCGGATCCCGCGCGCGACGACGGAGGAGGACGCGGCGGCGCACCGCGGCGACGGCGGCGGCGACGCGAGGACGCGACGGAGGAGTCCCGGCGCGCCCCGACGCATGCGGCGGTGGCGTGTTTCGACGACGACGACGACGGCGCCGGCGCGCGTCCTCGTCGCGGGCCACGACCGCGCGCCGCGGACGGCGACGCGGCCGCGGCGTTGGCTCGACGACGCGAAGGGCGCCGCGACGACGACCGGGACGGACGAGCGAGGAGACGACGCCGCCGCGTGCATCGCCCGCCGCGCGAGGCGAACAGTGACGTCGACGACGACACGTCGCGTCGTCTCGACGAAGTTTCGCTGACTCGATGATGATGGCGCGGACGCAGATCCGCCCTCGCGCGACGCGCGCGGCGAAGGGTTCCGCGGCGCGTCGTGGTGCTCTCCTATACGATGTCCGCCGCGCCGCCGCGCCGCTTCAACGCCGCCGCCGCTTCAGCGACGCGCCGTCTCCTCGTGAACGCCGCGTCCGTCGTCCTCGCCCTCGCGCTGTGTGCGCCGTCGCCCGCGCGCGCGGATTTCCATCGCGGCGACCTCGTGCCGACGTCCAGACGCGCGCAGTTCCACGGCGAGCGCACGGCGTGGCACGACCTCCTCGCGACGCACTGCCCGACGTTCGATCGCGACGGCGTCGTCGCGGTGCCGCTGCCGAGGCCGACGAACCTGAGCGACGACGACGCGTACAAGATACGACTCTCGTTCGACAGCGACAGACACCACACGGACTGGATGACGGTGATACCGGAGAAGAAGGTACGTTCTATACACTGGTTCCCATACGACCGCGTTGGCGTGGTGAACGCCGATCCTTAAGGACTTTGCCCGTCGTCTCTCTCCGCCCATCCCTTGCGGTCAATCCCCGCCCTCGACGCCTTTCAACGCCAACTGACGCCTTTCAACTCCACCCCGACGTTCGCTCGTACGGAACGACCCGAAGGTTTCCGCGGCGTCGAAGAAGAATACGAAGAACGCCGCGAAGAAGACGCGAGGAAGAACGCCGCGAGGAGACGACGACGAGGACGCGGAAGAAGACGGAACGGCGACGACCGACGCGGAGGAACCACCTGTGCCGATGATCGACGTCGCCTTCTACGTCGACGACGGACGCGTCGTCGCCGTCGCCGCTCAGGTCGTTCCACTCCCGCGCGCGTACCTCCGCGAACACCGCGCGCTCGTCGCGGAGCATCACGACCGCGGCGCGTGGCCGAAGCACGTCATCGTGAGGTATCGGTGGAAGAAGCGATTCCGCGTGGACGTGAACGGCGGCGCGGGGATCGGATTGAAGCTTTGTCTCGTCGCGACGGCGGCGCTGGGATTCGGCGCGGCGAGAGACGCGCGGCGAGGGGGGAGCATCGCGGCGTTCGTGCACGTGCTCGAGAGCGCGGTGGGGCCCGGAGGCGACGGCGAGGGGGACGGGGAGGGGGGCGGCGGCGGCGTCGGGAGGAAGTTCGATTGACGACGGACGCGAGCGCAGTCGCGGCCGCGACGCCTTCCAGCTTCGCGAATCGATGAAAGTAGCAGAGACTCATCCTGAAACCGTCGTCCAGTCGTCCTCCTCGCTCGACGTCACATCACGATGCACCGGCTGCTCCGCGGGCTCGCGCGCGTCTCCGCGGCGTCCTCCGCGGCGCTCGCGCGTCGATCGCTCGCCGCGGACGCGGCCGCGACGACGTCGTGCCGATGGCGGTGGACGGTGGCGACGGCGACGGCGACGACGACGGCGACGGCGACGGCGACGACGCGCGTCGATCATCAAACCCTATTCGGTGCCGAGGCGAACGGGCGTTGGACGACGACGAGATCGTTCGCGTCTTCGTCCTCCGCGCGGGGCGACGGCGACGACGCCGCGTCTTCTTCTTCCTCCTCCTCCTTCTCTCCCTCCTCCGCGAGGCCGAAGATGACACGGAAAGAAGAGGAGGAGTACGACGAGCAGATCCCGCGGAGGCTCCGCGGCGGCGGCATGCACGTCCTCGTGCGAAACGACGACGTCGAGCAAGCCATCCGAAAGTTGTCGCGCGCGGAGAGAGACGAGGGGATCGCGCGCGAGTTCAAGAAGCGAGAGTATTACCTGAAACCGTCCGCGCAGAGGCGTTTAGACAAGAAGGAGCGCGAGCACCGGCAGTGGAAGCGCGAGATGCGCAAGAAGCTCAACTGGATCGTCCACAGGAAAGCGAGAGGCTTCTAGCCATTGCATTGGACGAGAGCTTTTAGACGTAGCAGGAGGACGAACGACGACGCGACGCGACGCGACGAAGCCGAAAGCCTCGAGGTATTAATAAGGGTATCAAATCAAATCAAAACGTAGTCGACGCGAACGCCATCGCACACATCGCCCCCGCATATCGCGTCGCGTCGCTCACTGTTGTCCCTGTTCGCCCTTCGCCTGCTTCATCGCGGAGGACGGCCCGACGAAGAAAACCTTTTGCGTGTCGAGCATCTTGTCGAGCAAGTTTTCAAAGTCGCCCTTCTGTCGGGGTCGAGGGTCCATACGAAGCGACGTCGGGGTGTAGTTGAAAGGCGTCAGAAGCGGAGTTGAAAGGCGTCCAGGCGTGTCGGGATTGAAAGCGAGGGGTGATGGGCGGAGAGATGCGACGGGAAGTAAAGTCCTTAAGGAACGGCGTTCACATCGCGAACGGGGTCGTACGGGGACCGGTGTGAATCAGAACGCGCCTCCTGCCGCGTCAGCCCTCCCATGGACGCGTCCGAGACCTCCTCGCCGTTGTTCTCCTCCTGCGGGGTTCGAGGGGGTAGGGTGGGGGGTTAGGGTTTGTGTGTAGGGTTTAGGGTTCGTTCGGGGCGGTCGAGGAACGGACGCGCGAACGGGAGCATCGCGACGGAAGCGGTCTCGTCGCGCCGTCGTCCTATCGTCGTCGCACCTTCAACGCGACGCACTCGTCCGCGCACGCGGAGGAGCAGTAGTCGCCGCTCCCCGGCGCGATCTTCAAGCACTCGGACTCGCACGACGACTGGCACGACGCCGCGAACGCGTCGGGGGCGGTCGCGAGGACCGGCGACAGCGCCTGCGCGGAAGGGACGAAGCGGACGCGGACGAGGACGAGGACGACGGCGGGTCATCAGGAGCTCGCGACGCGCGGACGACGCGACGCGCGGACGGCGCGGAGAGGCCGCCCCCACGGCGACGACGGAGAGAGCGCGCGGGAGACTACCGCGAACGCGAGCGCACCATCGCGGCCGCGAGCGCGGTGGCGGCGAGACGCTCGCGCGCGCGTCGCGCGATCGCCGCGGTGCCGTCGACGCCGACGACGACGACATCCGACGTGGACGACGACGACGACGACTTGGACGCGCGACGCGGGCGCGTCGTCGTCGTATGAGCAAACAGTGAGGCGGCGCGCGTCGTCGCGGCGGCGCGACCGGCGCGCGTCGCGCGGCACGGGGAGGACGTGAGCATCATCTCGCGAGCGCGCGGTCGAGCTGCGCGCGGGGGGGTGTGGCGAGACGGAGGATAGGGATGGATGACAACGACACGCCCTGGGCAGAAGTTTGGTGCTGCGGCAAAATAAACATTCCGATGACGGCTACGGGCGCTCGTGACGGCTACTAGGACTACTGCACTAACGAGACGGGCGATCGCCGACGTGATGTCATCGCGTCACGTCGTCGGCGCGGTCGCCGCGCGCACGGTCGCTTTCTTCCCCTGCGTCCCGCGTGGCTTCGCCGCGGGCGTCGCCTTCTTGTCGTTTTTGGATTTCGAGTCCCCGGTCCACGGTTCCTTCGCCGGCGCTTTGGGCTTCTGAAAACGCTTCGCCCCCGGCGGTTTCTCCTTCGTCAGCTTCGGCCGCCCCGACCTCGTGTTCGCCCTCTTGTTCGCGGGCGCGGTGAGGCGCCGCACGCGAAGAAACTCGTCCATTTTACTCACCTCGCGCCTTCAGGGCCATTCCATACGAAGCGACGTCGGGGTGGAGTTCAAAGGCGTCAGGGGTGGAGTTCAAAGGCGTCGATGGCGGGGATTGAAAGCGAGGGGTGGGCGGAGAGATGCGCCGGGCGAAGTCCTCAAGGAATCGCGTTCACCACGCCAACGCGGTCGTATGGGGACCAGTGTGAGGAGAACGCGCCAGTACACCGCGAGCAGCACCGCGAACACGATCAGAAAGAATAGGATCCCAACGAACCGCATATCTCGCCTCTTGTCCACCCTGCGTCGCGTTCGAAACCACGTGCTCACCGCGACGACGTCCAGATCGAGCTGGCGCGCGAGCCGCGCTTCCGTTCGCGCGGGCGGGCGCGGCTCGAGCTCGTACACGCCCTCCAAGATTTTTTTGTGATGTTCGGTGACGCCGCTCTGTCGCGCCTTGATGCGCTGGACCTCGCCGAGGAAGTGCCTGCGGCGCATGCGCTTGGACGCGTCGTCGGAGCTGAGGTACGCCGCGTCGATCGCGCCCGCCTTGGACGTCATGACGACGGGAGGAGGGAGCGTGGGAGGTCGCGACGCGCGCGTTCGAACGAATGATGACGAGACGAAATCAATTTCGCCCGCGGCCTCTTCTGTTTTCAGATCTGACGGTGCCGTCTCCGCCGCAGTCGCGCGCGTCGCGATGCCCGCGTCCCCCCGCGCGGCGGCGGCGGCGGCGGCGTCCGACGACGCCGCCGCCGGCGTCGCTCTCCCCTGCCACCCCGGCGTCTTCCTCGCCGTCGTCGTCGCGCTCGTCTCCGTCGCCGTGTCGTGGCTCGACCTCGCGCGCGAGACGACGCTAGGGATCGACCTCGGCACGACCCACAGCGTCGCCGCGACGTGCGACAAGGGCGTCGTCTCCGTCGTGCGCGTCGACGGCGGCGTGCGCGCGGACGGGGGGTGGGACGACGGCGACGACGACGACGGTTTCGGCGGTTTCGGCGGCGGGCTGACGCTGCCGAGCGTCGTGCGGTTCGAGAGGAGGAGGAGGAGGAGGAGGAGGAAGGACGACGACGACGACGACGACGATGACTCGTACGACGTCGTCGCCATCGGCGCGCCCGCCGCGCGCGCGAGGGCCGTCGCGCCGTCTCGCGTCGTGTACGACGCGAAGCGCGTCATCGGGCGCGCGTGGGCCGACCCGGTCGTGAGGGAGGAGGCGGACGCGATGCCGTTTCGCGTCGTGAAGCGGCGCGGGAACGGCGACGACCTCGACGATCTCGACGACGGCGTCGCGTTCGCGCTGACGGACGAAGACGACGACGACGAATTTCTCGAAGACGTCTTCGCGATCGTCTCCCCCGAGGAGGTCTCCGCGCGCGTGCTGCGGCATCTGAAGCGCGCGGCGGAGGCGTCGATGTCGCGCGCGCGGCGCGCGTTGGGGTTCAAGTTCGCCTCCGCGACGATCTCCGTTCCCGTGGAGTTCGGAGCCGCGCAGAGGGCGGCGACGATTCGAGCAGCGGAACGCGCCGGGTTCGCTTCGACGCGGCTGATCGAGGAGCCCGTCGCCGCGGCGATCGCGCACGGCCTCGACGCGAGGTATAATAACAACAACGCCTCTTCGTCGGACGTTACTTCTTCTTCCGGTGACTCCCGCCTCGTCGTCGTGTACGACTTGGGAGGCGGCACCCTCGACGTCGCGGTGCTGCGGCTGGACCCGGAGACGCGGACGTTTCTCGTGATGGGTACCGCGGGGGATCCGCGGTTGGGCGGGGAGGACTTCGACCGCGCGTTGTTAACGCTCGTGGAGGGGCGGTTATCCAGGATATCGATAGCGAGCAGCGGTGCGGGGATGCGCGAGCGCGCGATGCGGGAGGTGGAGCGCGCGAAACGCGCGATCGGGAGCGGTTACGGCGGGAGAAGAAGAAGCGCCGCGACGATGCGCTTTTGCGGCGGCGGCGGCGGCGCGGGACCGGCGCCCGCGACCTCGGTGTCCCTGCTTCTGGACGACGACGCGAGCGGCAGTAGTAGCGGCGGCGGCGACGACCATCTTCTCTGCGAGGACGTGGTTCTGTCCGGTGATGATATAACGCTCGCGTCCGAGGCGTTACTTTCCCGCGCGACGACGCCCGTCCGCGACGCGTTACGCCGCGCCGGCGAGGTATCCCCCGCGGAGGTCGACGACGTCGTCCTCGTCGGCGGCGGCACGAGACTGCTCGCCGTGCGCGAGCGGCTCGGCGAGGTGTTCGAGGGGAGGGAGTTGAGGGACGGCGTCGATCCCGCGCTGGCGATCGCGATAGGCGCGGCGCGGTCGTACGCGTGTTAGCGCGCGCAGACGGGTGAAGATAGATTTCTAACGCGGTACTTCCGTACTTTTTAGTTCGCTCCGTGCGTGTTCTCGTGTCCGTCCTTCTTCTTCTTCTTCTTCTTCGTCTTCTTCGCGTCGGCGTCGTGTGCCCTTAGTCGTCGATCTCGATGGGGGCGTCGACCGCCTCCCCCGCCGTCCCCCCCACACCCGCGCCCGCCGCCGCCGCCTCCGCGTCGCGCGCCTTCTTTTTTTTTTCCCTCCGTCTGTTCGCGAACCAGAAGTGGACGTTGCGTTCCTCGATCGGACCGAACGCGCGGAGCTCGCGCGTTATTTCCGACTTTCGCTCCTCCTTCGGCACCGCGTCGTCCGTCTCGAAGAGCTCGTCGAGGCGCGCGCGCTGCTCCGGCGTCGCGCGCCATCTCGGCGCGGGCGGCGGGGACGTTTCGGGTAGCTCCGCCGGTTTCGTCTTCGTCGCCGTCGTCGCGTTCGCTTCGCCGACGCCGACGAGCGACGATAAAAATCCGCTCTCTTGGTCCGACTCCCCCGCGTCGTTCACGCTCCACGGGTCGCTGTAGTTCATCGGCCTAGTCGCGCGTCCCCCGAAGACGTCCCCGCCGCACGGGGTGTGGAAGCTGTCGACGTCGTCGTCGGCGGCGTCGACGTTAAGCGGCGGCGGCGACCCTTCGACGGCGCTCGCGACGCGCTCGACCAACCGCGTCACGATCGCGTCGATCGCCGCGGACGTCTCCTCCGCGTAGACGAGGTTTCTCTGCGCGCGCCACGCGGACGCGGTCGCGTGCCGCGGCGGCCAGTCGTGCCGCGCGTCGACGCCCGCGTCGGACGCGTCGTCGTCCGAGTCGTCCGAGCCGTCGTCCGAGTCCGCGAATCCGCGCGGAGGCAGCAGCCGCCGAGGGCCGCCGAGGAGCCGCTGCTTCAACACCGCGCACGCCGCGACCGTCGCCGCCGCGCGCTCCTTCTCCTCAATCGCGACGACCGCGTCGACGTACGTCTTCTCTCCGCGAAACGTCAGAGACGCGTCGTCGTCGCCGCCGCCGCCGCTTTCGCCGCCGCCGCCGCCGCCGCCGCCGCCGCTTTCGCCGCCGCCGCCGCCGCCGCCGTCGGAGTTTTGGGTGTCTTCGCGCCGGCGTCTCGCGCTGAGCGCGGCGGCCGCTCTCGCCGCCGCCGCGGCCTCCGCCTCGGGCTCGTCCGCGTCGCCGCCGCCGACCTCCACGGCCTCGCCTCCCTCCTCCTCCGACGTGGCGTTCCCTGATTCGTCGTCGTCATCGTCGTCGCCGCCGCCGCGCTGCGACTCCCGCGCGGCTTTTCTCGCCGCGAGATACGCCGCCTCCGCGCGCCGCCTCTTCGCCTGGTTCGCGTGCCACCTCTTGCTGAGCACGTCGCACCGCCCGCCCTTCGAGGCGCACCCCGCGCACGCGCCGCATCGACGCCGGCCGTCCGGCTTCCCGGTCGCCGTGAGCGCGTGCGGCGGCGGCGGCGCCGCCGCCGCGGCGGACGCGGCGATCGCGGAGACGTCTTCCTGCGTGTCCATGTCCTCCGTCCTCGCGAGCTTCACGACGAGCTGCGTCTTGCGCTTCTCCTCCATCGCTCTCTGGCGTTTCCACCACTCGAACGTCGGCGCGTCGACCGGCGCGTCCACGCTGGCGATCGTCGCGTCCGATACTTCGTACGTCAAGCCGGGCGCGAGCTCTAAGACGTCCCCGAGTCTCACGACGACCCACTCGTCGACGCGCACGAGCTCGCCGGGGTGGTCGTCGTTCCACGCGTCAGCCGCTGCTGCGCGGATGGTTGTTTTTCAGAGATACGAGATCGTGATTGGTCAGTTTTGAAATACTGAAGTGATGACGTGGACGATCGTGCGGTCGAGAGGCGCTCGCACCGCGTTTGACGCGAATCTCGTTCACGGCGCCGAGCCGAAGCAATCGCAGCTGCCGTCCGTCCCAGTGCAGCGCGAACAAACGCTTGCTGAGCGACAGCGCGGTCGCCAGGACGTCCGCGCGGCCGAACAGCCGAGGCCAGTTCTGCGTGAGCGTCATGCGGACGCTCTCGGGCGGCGGCGACGGCGGCGACCGTTCAAACGTGGGTCGAGGGTCATCGCGAAGCGACGTCGGGGCGGCGTTCGGAGGCGCGTCAGTTGGAGTCGCGAGGAGTCGAGGTGAGGGATTGAAATCCGAGGGGTGGGGCGAAGAGAGACAAAACGCCGGGAGAGAGAGTCCTCGACCTGAGTCCTCGAGGAACGGCGTGTATCATAAGTTACGGGACGCACCTAAACTCAGCGATAACGTCTGAAGCGTCGGCGGATGCGGCCGCGCCTGGAAGATGACGTCGCGCGGGATCGTCGCCCTGTCGCCGTCGACGTATCGGTACTCGTACGTCCACGCCTGGCGCGCGGGATCGTCCTCGAGCGCGGCGACGAACTCCTGCGCGCGGTGGAAGGGAGAAGAGAAGCGCGCGTTTGAACAGGAACCACGAAAAAAGAGAGAGAGGCGAAGGGTACGACGGGCGGCCGCGTCGCACCACGCGATCGCCCGGGCGCACGATCGCGGCGTCGCCGACGTCGCGCAGAACGACGCGTCCGCCGCCGTCCTCGTCGTCGCGCCGCACCGCCATCTCCCAGTCCGGGGAGAGGCGCATGACGACCAGCGACTCGAAGTTCTCGGAGTGACAAAGAAGCGCGTGTCGCTCGGCCAGGCGCGCGTCCGCGCGCGTTGCGACGTCGAGGGTCGCGCGCTTCACGAGGCCGCGCGAGCCGGGGTTGAGCCACACGCGCGCGTTGCACGCGCGCGACGGCGGCGCGTCCGCGACGACGAGGTGCAGCCCGGGGCGCATGGCGGCGCGCGCGGGAGGGGGGAGGGAACCGCCCGCGCGGTTTGAACTGGCTGGGAGGGACCGCCGAGGACGAACAGATTTGCGACGACAGGAGGTCCGAGATTTCGAGTTCGAGTTCGTTCGTACACGCGCCGAGCGCGTCTTATTACATCCGTCGCGTCTCAACGCATCGCATCGTGCGCGTCGTTCGCGCGTCGTCGTCGTCGTCGTCGTCGTCGTAGTGTCTACGGAACCCCGCGCTCGTTCGTGTCGTCGTCGTCGTCGCGGCGCCCCGCGGATACGATACGCTCTCGGTTCGGTCCTCGCGTCGCGTCGCTACCGGTCATCACCTCAACAGCCCGGGCCCGCCGCCGCCGTCCCCCCCCGTCGCGAGATAACGCAGCTGCGCGTCCGACATGTCATACGCGAGCCCGTTCCCGCCGTTTTTCCCCACGTACCCGCCGCTGAAAGCGTTGATGACGACGCCCGAGGTCAACGCCGCCGCCGCCGCGGTGCCCTGCGGAGCGCGAAGAAACGGAAAAGAAACGGAGAGGTGAGCGCGCGCGCGAGTCCTCGAGAGACGACGCGCGGCGTGACGCGGGGAAGCGGTGGAAGCGGTGGAAGCGAGCGGCCTCGTCTCGTCTCGGTCTTCTCACCTTGTCTGGCAACGCGTTCCCCGCCGTCAGCTGCTCTCTGAGCTGGTCGATGTTCATGAGCATGCACCCCGGCGTCGACCGCGCCTTCGCGACCTTCGACGCGCCCGGTTCGCTCCCGACGAGCAGGAGATCCGTCCGCCCGCTGACCGCGGTCGTGACGCGTCCCCCAAACTGCTCGCACAACCTTCGCGCTTTGTCTTTCCCGAGATTGAGCCCGCAGCCGCCGCCGAGCTCGGGGAAGACTCCGGTGAGGACGATCGTCTTTCCCGCCAGCTGGAGATGCGGCGCGACGCCGCCGTCCGCTCTTCGGACGATCGCGGCGGCGGCGGCGCTCTTCTTCGGACCCTTCGCGGGCACAGCGACGACGGCGTTGCCCGAGGCGTAGCCGCCCGCGGGGGACGTCGGCGCGGGCGCGCGCGGCTGTTTCTTCGGCCGGCCGCGCGGCCGCTTCGGCGGTTGCGGGTTCGCCGCCGCGGCGTCGTCCTCGTCCGTGGAGGCGCCCGTGAGGTCGATCGCCTTCGGCTCCGCCGCCTTCGGCTCCGCCTTCGGGACCGCGGTCGGCTTCGGGACCGGGATCGGCTTCGATCGCTTCGTCGCGCGCGCCGCCGCCGCCGGCGGCGCCTTCCCGACCGGCTTCCCCGGGAAAACGACGATCGCGCCCGCGCCCTCCGCGGTCGACGTCGAGTTCGCCGCCTTCCGTTTCCTTCCCGCCGCGGGTTCTTCTGGTTCGGGTTCGTCGTCCTCGACTTTCGAATCTCCCGCCTTCGCGCCCTTCGCGCCCTTCTTCCCCCCCTTCTTCGCCGTGGGCCCCGCGCCCGGCTCGGCTCCGAGCTTCTTACCTCTGACCGTCGCCCAATTGCTCTGATCCATGACGTGCGCCACCAGAGGCGCTCGATCTTCCGGGGTCATCTCCGCGAGCCCGGTGAACAGAAGCTCGTCCATCGCGAGCAGCGCCCTCTCGAACGCCGCGGAAGGGGACGCCGGGTCGTGCGGGAGCCCTTGATGTATCCGCGCCGGGACGCGCCAGCACTCGAGGTGGACCCAACGCGAGTAGCTGTCGATCGCGCGAGGGCGAGGGAGGACGGGGGAGGGAGGGAGGTCGGCGGTCGGCGAGATGATAGACGTCTCGTCGGCGAGATGAGTTAAATAACGTCTCGTCGGCGAAACTTCCTTCAGCGGGTCGAAGAGAGAAGACGGACGGACGGGAGAGCGCGACGAACGAGCGCGTCTTCGAGGAGCGACGCGCGACGCGCGAGCGGGGGCGCGTGGGAAGCGGTCGGGTGAAAGGAAAAGAAAGTCCTTAAGGAATGGCGTTCACCACGCGAACGGGGTCGTATGGGGACCGGTGTATAAAACGCGCCCGCCGCTCTGCGCGTCCAACACGCCGATTCGGACGTGACCCTTCGGGATCTTGAACGGGTCTTCGAACTTGCAGTTGTGGCGGTTCTTGCCGTCGTCCGCGTTGCACTTGCTCCGGTTACTGCGACGCGACGCGCGGCGCGGGAGGGACGGACGAGGAGGAGGGAAGAAGGATGGACCGGGGTCAGTCGCGGCGACGGCGACGCGACGACGTCGACAGCTGTGCGAAAAATAATGCGAACGCGTGTTCTCCGTCGCGTCTCGTCGCACCTCTTCGCGAGCTCGGCGCGATACAACGGCATGTCCGCCTCCGCGGCGGCGGCGTAGAAGTCGTACGACGGCCGGTGCGTGTCGTCCGCCGTCGCGCTCGCGTCTTTCCACTCCTTCGCCGTGGACGCTTTCGAGCCGCGCGCGGTCTTGTACGAGAACGACCCGCCCGAGGCGTCCGTGAATTTCTGCTTGAGCACGTCGAACGCCGCGCGGACGTCGCGGAACGCCGCCTCGTCGCCGCCCTTGTCCGGGTGATGCGTCTTCGCCGCGACGTGAAACGCGCGTTTGATGACGTTGAACTCCTCCTCCAGGGTGTTCGCCGCCGCGAGCGCGTCGGCGGGGACGTCGAGCGTCGCGAGGAGCGCGGCGATCGTGCCTCCGCCCGGCGCGCGGCGCCTCGGCGCGCGCTTCTGCTTCTTGGGCGGCATGACGACGACGACGGCGGCCGAGGGCGGCGACGAGAGGACGACGACGACGACGACGACGACGACGACGCGGTCGTGGAAGGGAGCGCGCGCGGAGTGCACTGGCAGCTGGGAAGACGAGGGTGCCAAGTTTCGCAGATCTGACAAACTGAAAGTTTCGTCCTCTCCGCCGTTCGGGGCGCGAGGATTCACGCCGAACGGCGTTGATGAGTGTTTCGATACCAGTCATTCATCAGACGTGTAATTTTAGCCAATCAGATCGCGCGATGTGTCCACGAGGGCAGTGACGACCGACCGCGCGAAATTCCGCGCGTAGTACGAAAACGTCGTACTCTCGCACGGCCGCGCAGTCTCGAATCGGCCCGACCCGTCAGCGCCACAGAAACGCGCGGCACACGCCTTCCGCGCCCTCCCCGTTCGCCTATCTTCGAACCGCCGCCCGGCGCGGCACATCGTCGCGCGCGCGCGCGGAGTCGTCCCTCCGTCATGACCTCCGCGGCCGCGTCATCGCTCAGATACCTCGGCGACGTCGCGTCGCTGCGACGCCGCGCGTCGCCGTCGTCGAGCGCCGCGCGGCGTCGCGCCGCGTCGACGACGACGACGACGACGACGCGCGCGCAGGCGCTGCAGCCGACGCCGTCGTGGTCGAGCGCGCGCAAGCAGCTCCTCGAGGCGGTCACCGCGGGGACCGGGCTGTCGCGCGCGCCGTCGGTGTGGTACGTCGACCGCGACGCAGGATCCGCGCCGTGCGTCGGCGTCTCGAGCGCGTCGTCCGCGGGCGCGGGCGTCGGACCGCTCGCGTCGTCGTCGCCGTCGGCTAGATCGCAAGATGAGAACGACGATCGCGCGTCCAACGGATTCCGCGCGTCGTCGTCGTCGTCGTCGTCGTCGTCGTCGTCGTCGTCGTCGTCGTCGCGCGCCGCGAGATCGTCGTCGTCGTCTCGCCGCGCGTCCGCCGCCGCCAACGTCCTGCGCGTGAACGCGCGCCAGGCGTCGGTGTCGCACAAGGCGCTCGCGCACGCGGACAGCGTGGAGAGCGCCTCTCTGCGACACGATCTCCAACGCCACCTCCTCTCCGGAGGCGCCACCGTGCTCGTCACGCCCGTCGTCGATCCGATGATCGTCGACCTCGCCGCGTCGGACGCGGACTTTTTCGGGCACGACCGTAATTCTCCCGCCGGCCGCGTCCTCGTCGAGGGCACCGTGTGCAAGTGCGACCCGAACGACCCGGGCGACTGCTGCGCGCGCGGGTTGGCGACGTACTGCGTGTCGTGTCCCGTGCTCGCGAGCCGCGACTGCGACGACGGCGTCAACGGCGACGGCGGCGAATGGGATGATTCTTTCGCGATGGACTGCGACGACGTGCGCGACTGCGCGTTCGCGCGCGCGATCAAGGCGGCGTCCGCGACGACGACGAGCCGGCATCAGTACTACGCCGCGGTGGTGCAGACGTCGCACGGACTGGGAGGCGCGGCGGCGACGGTTGACGAGGACGGGCGCGTCGCGGAGGCGATCGGCTACGAGGAGTTTCTCGTGTACCGGCCGAACGGAGACGGGTGGATCGCGGGCGCGGTGCCGCCGCCGACGAGCGTGCGGAGGGCGTCGTTCGGGCCGAAGCTGCGAGGGGAGATGAGGACGCTCGCGGTGAAGGAGTCGATCGATCGAAGCGTCGACTTGGACATCGTGTGATAGACGACGCGGTCGACGACGGCGCGGTCGACGCCAGACGACGACGCCGCGGGGGGGCGCGCGCTTCGTCGAATTATTCGGCAGTTTATTACTTTAGTATCCTAGTAGTTCTTTTCTAATCGCAGGCCATTCGATTTCCTTACGACGACGACGACGACGACGCTTCACTCCCACCGCCCGACGAACGGTCGCGGCGTCTCCTCCTCCTCCTCCTCCTCCTCCGCGGCTTTTCTTCCCTCGTCTTCCCGCGACGGCGGCGGCGCCTCGGCGACGGCGGCGGCGGTCTTCGCCCTCTTCGCGTCCTCCACCGCCGCGCCCGCCTCCGCGTCGTCCTCGCGCGTCTCCTCGTCGTCGTCCCCCGCGAGAACTCTCTTCTTCTTCTCCTCCTTCTCTCTCGCCTCCGCCGCGCGCGCGCTCTTCGCGAGCTCTTCCAGTCCGCCGCCCTCCGGCTTTTTCGGTAAGATTCTGTACTCCAACACGCGGCAGTCGACGCCGCCGACGCCCATCACCCTCCTCCGCTGCGCCTTCATTCGCAGCGGCCGCGTCGCGTCCGCGTCGCCGCAGAGTAAGTGCGCGGTCGCGCCGCCGCACTCGCGGCGGAAAAACGCCCCGAGAGAGCTCCACGCGTCCTCGACGTTTCCGGTGTCTCGCGACGACGACGACGACGACGCGGCGGCGTCGGAATCTAAATCGTGATCGCCGAGGCTCTCATCCCAGTCGCCGTCTCCCGCGCCGCCGCCGTCGCGACCGCCGCCGACCCCGCCGTCCGCGTCTTCATACTCCGCGTCGTCGCCGCCGTACAGCGCGTCCCCGCCTCTCGCGGCCGCGCCCCTCCTCCCGCCGCCGCCGGTCTCTCCGCCGGTGTCTCCGCCGATCCTCTTCCCCCACGGCGGGTTGCTGACCACGAGTATCCCGCCCCCGCCCGGCCGCGCGTGCGTCGGACCGAGGTCGAGGTCGTGACCGCCGCGCTTTCCCTTTCCTCCGCGAAAGCTCATGCCTCCCGCCGACGCGCCACCAGTCGCGGTCGCGATCTCCACGCGCGCGCGCAGCTCCGCGTGCGTGAATTCCCCCGCGTCTCCCTTTGGGCCATTCCATCGTTCAAAGCGACGTCGGGGTGGAGTTCATAGGCGTCAGAAGCGGAGTTGAAAGGCGTCGAGGTGTGTCGGGATTGAAAGCGAGGGACCCTGGGCGGCGAGAGACGACGGCAAAAGTCCTTAAGGATCGGCGTTCACCACGCCGACGCGGTCGTATGGGGACCAGTGTGAGATAGAACGCGCCTGAGAAAACTCGATGAGGTTCTCCACGCCCGCGGCGGTCGCCGCGCGTCTCGCGAGGCTCAGCGCGCCCGCGTGCACGTCGCATCCGAGGAGCACGGGGCGTCGTCCGTCCGCGCGCGATCGTTCGCCGATCTCCGAGGCTTGCTCGAGGACGCTTCGAAGCAGCGCGTCGTCGTGATCGGGCCTGTTCGGGGCGGAGTTCAAAGGCGCGTCGGGGTGGAGTTGAAAGGCGTCAGAAGCGGAGTTGAAAGGCGTCGAGGTGTGTGCGTCGGGATTGAAACCGTGGGACCCTGGGGGGAGAGAAACACGCGACGGCGAAAGTCCTCAAGGAATGGCGTTCACCACGCGGACGGGGTCGTATGGGGACCAGTGTGCGAAGGACGCGCCATCGTTCAAACGCGTAGGCGGCGGCGGATTGGTCTCCGCGCGTCCCGCTCGACCGTCGGCGCGCGGCGGCGTCCGCGCGAATCAGCCCGGGCGCGACGCGCCCGGCCATGAGCGCGGCTTCGATTAAGATCGTCCCGCTGCCGCACATCGGGTCGACGAGCGCGGGGAGCGGCACCGCGTTCGGCCCTCGCGCGTTGTCGCAGCACTTGGCGTAGCCCGCGAGCGACAGCACGCCCGCGGCGGCGGACTCGTTCAACGCCGCGCGGTGGATCGCCGCGTCTCGGTATCCGCGGCGATGCAGCGACTCGCCGGACATGTCGCGGTACATCACAGCCTCGTCGCGGTAGAGCGACAGGAACAGAGGGACGTCCGCGGACGCGTGGCCGCTCGTCGGCGGCGGCGGGCGCCACCTGGAGGAAGAGATGACGTGTGGAAGTTTCATTGGTTAGCAAGAGATCAGATTCGATGACGTGGCAGAACGCGCGGCCGGGGACGCGCGCGCGGGGGGGGCGACCGACGTGTATGACTATTTAGTCATAAGTCGATCCTTCACAACGTACCCGGTGGCGTCCACGAGCGCGTCGCAGACGGCGTCCTTCGCGCGCGTCGACGCCAACCGCGTCGACGTCACGTCGGAGCAGCTCCACACGCGGCTCTCGACGCTGAACGTGAGGGGGTCGCGCGCGCCGACGCCGCCCGGGACGACGTCTTCCCACGGCGCGGCGCCCTTCACGAAGTCGTACACCGCGGCGCCGCCGGGCGCGGAGGGGTCGAGCCACCCTCTTCGCATCTCAACCAGCACGCGAATCGCGCTTCGCAGCCACACGTTCGCGAGGTAGCCGACGCGCGCGTCGCCCGCGAAGGACACGCCGCTCGCGCCGGGCGCGACGTCGATCGCGCCGATGAGCGGCGAGGAGAGCTCCGCGGCGACCACCTCCTCGAGGCCGGGATGGCAGGTGGCGTAAAACCTGTCGCGGAGGTCGACGATAGGTCGAGGGAAGAAGACAAACACGTGTCAGTGGCGCGTGCGTGTGATTGGTGAGTACCGTTACCACGTGTCAAAACGTGAGGTTGACAACGCGCGAAAGAAGTCCGTCCTTAAGAAACGACGATCGACGCGCCGACCAGGTCGCACGGGGAGCGTTCTCGTCTCACCGCGAGAGAGAATTCAACGCGCCGCCGTCGAACGGCGTGGACGGATCGAACGACGCCGCGCCGCCGCCGCCGGTCGGTCGGCGGGCGCGAGGCGCGGAACGCGCGGGTCCTCCCCGGTCGTCGTCGCGCGCGATGCCGCGCGGTCGTCGCTCCTCTCCTCGGTCTCTCGGCGGCGTGGACGCGGCGTCGTCTCCTGAGGGCCGTTCTATACAAGCGAATGGCGGGGTGGAGTTCATAGGCGTCAGTTGGAGTTGAAAGGCGCCGAGGGCGGGGATTGAAAGCGAGGGGTGGGCGGAGAGACACGCCGGGAAAAGTCCTTAAGGATCGGCGTTCACCACGCGAACGCCGTCGTATGGGGACCAGTGTATAGAACGCACCGGACGCCGTTCGCGGCGTTCGCGCGTCATCTCCGACGCCGGCTCCCTCCTCCTTCCCCGCGCCGCAACGGAAGCACGCGACTCTCCGCGCGAAGTTGTTCTCCCCGCACGCCGCGCACGTCCAATCGTTGACGCCGCTGTCGTCGCGGACGGCGTCGCGGAAGCGCTCGGGTCGTCGCTCGCCGCCTCCGCGGTGGTCGAGACGGAATGATGATTCGTCGAAATCGTCGAAATCGGAACGCGGTCCTCCTCGCGACGACGGTCGCTCCCACCGCTCGTCGTCGCGCGACCGCGGCGGATAACGCGACCGCGAGAGCGGGGCGCCCTCCGCGTTGCGTCGCGAGTCTCTCCGCGCGCGCGTCCACTCCGGGGCGTCGGATCCGCCGCGGTATCGCGCGGCGGACGACGCGGAGGATTCCCCCCCGCGCGCCGCCGACGCCGCGCCGCCGCCTCGGCCGCCTCGTCCGCGGCGACCGCCTCTTCCGCCGCGGTCGTCCCCGCGCGCGCGACGCGCGTCGCGGTCGTCGCGGTCGTCGCGGTCGTCGCGGTCGTATCCCTCGCGGTCGACGCCGCCGCCGGCGCCCATCGTCCATCGCCCGTCGTCCGCGCCGCCGTTCCCGCCGCCCCCGCGCGTTCCGCCCGCGGACGTCGCGACGCGTCGGCCGTGATGAACGACGCGCCAGCCGTCGAGCGCGCGCGGCCTCGGCGCGACGTGGAGCGCCCTGACGCGCGTCGTCGTCGTCGCGAGCGACGCGCGCGCCGCCCACGGCAGCGCGCCGAAGCAGCGCGTGAGGAGCATGGCGCAGTGGCGTCGACGGCGGCGACCGCGGCGAACTTAACAACAAATCCGTCGAAAGTCGCGAACCTCGAACGCGACGATGGATATGATAACGACGACGGCGACGACGACGCGACGCGTCACACGGACCGCGCGCGGCGACGCGATGTCTCAGCTCGCGACGCGCGCGCGCGTCGCGTCGAGCGCGACCGCGACGACGCGCGCGCGGCGGCGCGGCGGAGACGGCGCCGGGGAACGCGCGTCCGCGCCCGTCGTCGCCCCGCGCCTCGGAAGTCGGTGCCGTCGTCGCGTCGTGCTCGCCCGCCGCCGCGCCTCGGAAGAGCCGCTCGTCGCGCGCGTCTCTTCCGCCGCGCCGGAGGAGCGCGCGCGCGCCGACGGCGGCGGCGACGACGACGGCGACCCGAAGCCGCCACCGACGAGCGCGGCCGCGGAGACCGCGCGGAAGAACGTCGACGCCGCGGTCGCGGCGTCGTCGGCGTCGTCCGCGGCGCTCGCGAACAATCTCGACAACCAGTACCTCGCGACGCAAGAGCGGTTCCCGTCGCTGCCGCTGCCGCCGGAGCCGATTCGCTTTCCGCGGTCGCCGGTCGACATCAAGCTCGCGGTGATGCTGCTTCGATCCGCGTACGAGACCGTGGACGACATGAACGTCATCCCGATGGACCAGTTCCAGGTGCGCAGACGGATGGACGTAGACTATCAACATCAGCGTTTTATCCCTGCGCGCGTGCGCGCGTTCCGACGCCCGTTCGTTCCGTCGCCGCCGCCGCGGCGTCCGCTCGTCGCCCGACCTGACCTGACCACCCGTCGTGCATCCCCCTCGCGTTCCTCCCCGCCCGCCCTAAACCCTAAACCCTAAACCCTAAACCCTCCTAGATCAAGTTCTGGAAGTCGCGGCAGGCGGAGTGGGAGCCGTACAGGAACCAGTACTCGCCGTTGACGATCGAGCAGGGCAAGCTCGCGGATCCGCTGTACTTTGACTTCATCTCGTACGTCCAGTTCAACGTCATCGCGCGCGAGCTGCCGAGATCGGACGTGGTGTTCGAGGAACGTAACGGCGCGGAGGGAACCGTTTCTGTTATCCGAAGAGACGCGTCGCTGGGGACGGACAACAAGATATTGACGCCGGCGTTCGCGCAGCGGTTGGGCGACGCGCTCTACGCTCGCGCCAGATTCGGGTTCGAAGACGCGACCTTCCCGGGGGTCCCGGAGCCGAGGTGCGTTAGAGTCATGGAGTCTCTACCCCTATTTATACCCCTAATACCTCTGATACCCCCCCTGATACCCCTGATACCCATAAATACCCTAACCTTCGAACCTCCGAACCCTAAACCTCCTCCTTCCTCGCAGCTCCCCCGGCGACGTCGCGCGCGTCGCGGACGGAATGCGAGGTCTCGTCGACGCGTTTTGCGCGAAGGGATACGCGCTCAGAGGCGGCGTTCGCGACCTCGGACCGGGCAGCGGCGGGCAGGGCACGGAGAGCCGCGAGGTGGTCGTGAAGCTGGAGGGCCCCGCGCAGCTGTGGGGCGCGAGGCAGCTGTCCGCGCGAGGGGTCGTCCCGATCAACGAGTACCTCGGGATGGCGGCGACTGGGTTTTGTCGCGCGAGCGGCGTGCGAAGTTCGTACAGGGCGAGCTACACGGACGTCGCGGCGGAGCTGACGTTCACGCTGGCGCCGCCGCGGTAGCGTCGAGCGGAGTCGAGTCGCCGCCGAATCCGTCCGCGCTTCGTCGACGCGTTTTGGTCTGTGTTGTATTAAACGTCTTCGTAGAACGCAATATATACCTCATGATGGTAATTTTCGTTCGCGGGGCGACTGACGCGTTCCTCGCGGCCTCCCCGACTTCGTCGTCGCTCGACTCGACTCGACTCGACTCGATTCGCTCACTTCGCGGCGTCCTCCATCGTGACGTCGACGCGGCTCCGTTTCCGCCCCGACTCCGACTTCGACTTCGACTTCGACTTCGACTTCGACTCGCTCTTGCTCTTAGAGCTCTTGCTCTTCGAACGCTCGCTCGGCGACCCCGGCCCTCGCTCCCCTCGCTCCGCGCCCGCGCCGCACCTCTCCCTCCTCTCCGCCGCCATCCGCCGCAGCGTGTCGTCGTTCACCGCCGCCCTCGCGCGTTCGCGCGCCTCCTTCTTCTCCTCCTCCCGCTTCTCCGCCTCGTCGTCCGTGGACGTCTCCGTGCTGGGTGGAGTTGAAAGGCGTCAGTTGGAGTTGAAAGGCGTCAGTTGGAGTTGAAAGGCGTCATAGGGTCGGGGATTGAAAGCGAGGGGTGATGTGCGAAGAGAAACACACGCCGGGAAGTAAAGTCCTTAAGGATCGGCGTTCACCACGCCGACGCGGTCGTACGGGAACCAGTGTGAGATAGAACGCACCTGGAGCTCGAGCTCGACGACGAGCTCGTGACCTCGTGCGCGCTCTCCTCGCCGCGCCGCGGCTGCGCGTCGGCGACGGCGGCCAAATCCGGCCGCCTCAGACGCAACTTCTCCAGCCACTTCGCGCTCATCTTCGGTCGCCCCCGCTTCGTCATCCTCCACGCCTTGGCGAACCGGGACGTCGTGACGACGTTTTGCGTCACCGCGACGGTGTGATCGAGGTTCAACACCGCGTGCCACCAGCCATCCGGGACGTACATGATCTCGCCCGGGCGCTGCACCGCGTCCATGGGCGGCGGTCGCCCGGCGTCGCGCCACGCCGCCCCTCGCGTCCTCGGGTACATCTTGTTAAACCACGTCACGGACTCGCCGTCGAGGCCGATCCCTTTCGGCTTGAGGTGCGCCTTCTCCAAGCCTGGCGTCGGCGGGAACAGACACCAACGCTTGTGCCCGCTGATCAACGCGTTCCACGCCGACGTCGCGAGCGGGTCGACGTGAACGCTGCTTCCCGATCGCGGCGGCCCGATGACGACCCAGCGGTACGGCGGCCGTCGCTTCTCGCCGACGTGCTGAAACAAGTCCTCGGCGAAGTACTCCGGGACGGCGTAGTCGTCGAGCAGCGGCATCGACCCTTCCTTATCGCCGAACGATCCGTCGAAGATGTACAGAGGCGAGTCGTCCTTCGCGTGCGTCTCGTCCGTGAGGTAGTGATGGATGTGCGAAAACTTCAGCCTGACCGCGTACCCGTCGTCGTCGCTGCCGACTTTGAACCGGTGCGATCCAAACTTTTCCTTCAGCGCGTCGATCGTCCACGTCTCGTTCGCGCGCCAACCGTCCATGGCCTGAGGGTCGTTCCATACGAAGCGACGTCGGGGTGGAGTTCAAAGGCGTCAGAAGCGGAGTTGAAAGGCGTCGAGGTGTGTCGGGATTGAAAGCGAGGGACCCTGGGCGGAGAGACACGACGGGAAAAGTCCTTAAGGAATGACGTTCACCACGCCAACGCGGTCGTATGGGAACCAGTGCGATGACAGGACGCACCTCGGTGATGATGCACGGGAGGCGGGGCTTCTCGAATCGCTCGATGAACTCTTGCTTCGACACCTCTCGCGCGGATATCCGCGGCACGTCGTCGCCCAGATTCGCGGTGCTCAGCACGCTCGCGTCGAGGTAGTACCCGTTCTTCTGCCACTCGCCGCCGCTGACGGAGAGCTCCGAGCGCGTCGCGCGCTTCGCGTGTCGAATTCGCTTCTCGCATCGCTCCAGAGGCGACAGCTTCGCGTCCTTCTTATCATCGGCGGCGTCCTCCTTCTCCTTCGCGTCGTCGTCGCGGCCGCCGCCGTCCGCGTTTGACTTCTTCTTGTCGTGCTTCCCGTCCTTCTCGCGCCGGGACGCGGACGCGTCCGCGGCCGCGATCTTCGCGGCGACGGCGTCGGCGTCGGCGGACGATTCGGAAGGAGGATTCTTCTTCGACGCGCCTTCGGCCGCCGCCGCCGCCGGGGACGGCGCGCCCTTGACGTAGGTCGGGACCGCCTCGTCGTCGAACGTGATGTGCACAGACGTCGTCATGGACGGCGCGCGCGAGACGCCGCGGACGAGGGAGCACCCGCGCGGGGGGGGGAGGGCGCCCGTGCGGCGGCGGCGCGCGATCGAAATGCGCGAGGTCCGCCAGATCTCGTCCGCTTCTTTTCCGGCAGCGCAGCGGCAGCGGCACTCTCTCGATGATGATTCGTTCGCTCAGTGCGAGGCGCGCGCGCGAGAGGTCGCGATGAGACGCGCGGCGGTCGCCGCCGCGGGGCTGTTCCCGCGCGCGAGGCGAGGCGCGCTCGTCGCGTCGTCGTCGTCGGCGGCGGCGGCGGCCGCGGCCGCGCTCGATGGCGTCGCGGACGCGATGACGTCTGTTAGGGGGGCGAGCGGCGGCGTCGATCGCGTCGACGCGAACTTCGACGCGAGGCGGACGACGAGAACGCTGACGACGTCGACGTCGACGGCGCGACCGACGGCGGGGGCGACGCCGCGGCCGTCCGCGCGCGACGACGAGCGTCGTCTGTCGGCGTGGCGCGCGCGGCGATCGCGCGGCGCGAGCACGAGCGCGACGACCGCGCGAGGAGACGCGGCGGAAGCGGCGTCGTCGTCGTCGTCGTCGGACGCGCTCGCGCTCGCGAAGTCGCTGCCCACGAGCGGCAAGCTGCGACGCATGCGCGTCGGCGAAGTCCGCGAGCTCCTCTCCGCGATCGGCATCGACGCGGCCGGGAAGAAGGACCACCTCGTGCGTCGCCTCGAGGAGCACCGCGCGGCGGCGGCGGCGGCGGCGGCGGCGGCGACGATCGACGACGAAGACGAAGTCCTTAAGGAACGGCGTTCACCACGCGAACGCGGTCGTATGGGAACCGGTCACGACGCCGTCGACGAAGACCTTCGCGACGATGACCGTCGCGACGCCGCGGGCGCGGGCGCGGAGGACGCCGCAGCGGGGATGCCGACGCGACGGCGGCACCCCACACGGCACCCCACACGGCACCCCCCCCTGGGTCGGCGCGACCTCGGATACGACGACGTCGTCCTCTCGCCGAGCGAACACGGCGTCGACGCCGCGTCTCTCCCGAAGAGCGTGCGCAAGATCGCGGAGCGGCTGAGCAAGCGCGCGGACGGCGCGCGGACGTTCGTCGTCGGCGGCGCCGTGCGCGACCTCCTCCTCGGGAAGACGCCCAGGGATTACGACCTCGTCACGAACGCGACGTGGCGATCCATCAAAAAGGTGCGATTTCCTTACACTGGTCCCCATACGACCGCGTTGGCGTGGTGAACGCCGTTTCTTAAGGACTTTTGCCGTCGTCTCTCTCCGCTCACACCACGCTTTCAATCCCCGCCATCGGCGCCTTTCAACTCCGACTGACGCCTTTGAACTCCACCCGTGGCGTCCAACCGCGGCGATCCGTCAAAAAGAATCTGCCGTGCCTCATCGTCGGCAGGCGCTTCCGCGTCGCGCACGTGCGACGGCACGACGACGAGAGCGACCCGCGCGCGTACCACGAGCTCGTCGCGATGGAGGAGCACGAGCGCGTGGGGCTGGCGCGGCGGGAGGGGAGGAACCCAGCGAAGGAGCTGACGGCGTGGCAGATGAAGCACGGCGAGATGCCGGCGAGGAGGAGGAGGAAGACGCGGGCGGGGGAACGGTGGAGGATGACGACGGCCGACGCCGACGACGAGGAGGAGGAGGAGGAGGACGACGACGAAGACGACGAGGAGGAGAACGCCGAAGACGATGACGCCGAAGACGACGACGAAGACGAAGTAGTGGAGGAGATGAAGATGGAAGATATGGAAGAGTTGGAAGAGATGGACGACGGGCTCGACGACGACGAGCGGTTCCTCGACCGCCTTCGCGACAACGCGTACGCGCGCGATTTCACGCTCAACGGGCTGCTCTACGACGTCCAGAGCGGGGAGCTGTACGACTTCGTGAACGGCATCGACGACATCAGGAACCAGGTCGTTCGGTCGATAACGCCCGCGAACGAGGCGTTTCAGGAAGATCCCGCGCGGATGGTGCGCGCGATTCGCGTCGCCGCGAGGCACGACTTTCGCCCCGCGCCCGATCTCGTCTCCGCGATTCGTGCCAACGCGCGCCTCGTCCGCGCCGAGCCTCCCGCGCGGATGGCCGCGGAGTTGCTGACGGTGTTATCGTGCGGGTACGCCGCGCGCGCGGTGCGCGTGCTGTGGGAGTGCGGTCTGTTGGAGCATCTGATGCGCGAGCACGCGTCCTACATCGCGCGCGCGGTGGGGGACCCGACGAAGTCTCTCGTCGTCGCTGGCGCCGCCAGAGGCGGGGGAGCCGAGGGCGCGACGAACGACGTCTCTTCCTCGATGCAGCTGCAGCGCGCGACGGACGTGCTCTTCGAACGCGATCCGCTGTTCCGCGTCCTCGCCGCGCTCGACGCGCGGCACTCGCCGTCGAGCCCCGCGAGCGAGGCTATGGTGTGCGCGTGCCTCGCCGCGCCGCTCGCGATCGCGGCGCGTTCTCCTCACACTGGTCCCCATACGACCCGGTTCGCGTGGTGAACGCCGTTCCTTAAGGACTTTCTCTCCCGGCGTGTCTCTCCGCCCAGGGTCCCTCGCTTTCAATATCCGCCCTCGGCGCCTTTCAACTCTTACTGACGCCTTTCAACTCCACCCCGACGTTCGCTTCGCTCGTATAGGAGATGGGGTGGCCGGTGCCGCCGCATCCGAACGACGTCGTGCCGACGCCGGTCGTCGCGGCGGACGCGTCGCGCCGCCGCGCGCGCTCGAAGGGAGCGGCGAGGCGCTCGAAGGCATCGGAGCCGCGCGCGTCGACGTCGTTCTCTTCGTTCCTGACGCCGGACGTCGTCGAGGACACCAGGTGCGTTCTGTACACTGGTTCCCATACGACCGCGTTGGCGTGGTGAACGCCGATCCTTAAGGACTTTTCCCGGCGCATCTCTCCGCCCACACCTCGCTTTCAATCCCGACACACCTCGACGCCTTTCAACTCCAACTGACGCCTTTCAACTCTAGGGTGAAGATCCGCGCGTACAAGGCGGAGTGGTCGAGAGAGGACGAACGACGCGCGCGCGACGCGGTGCGGCGTTTGCGAAAGGGGGCCCTGGATTCGAAAAAGCCAAAGCCGTCGTCGCCGTCGTCGTGGCGCGTCGCGTGGACGCTGTGGACCGGCGTCGCGGCGAACGCGATGACGATGATGCGGGACGAGTACGACCAGACGTCGCGCGCGTCGACGTTGCGCGGCCTCTTCACGATGCACCTGCCGCTTTTCGCGACGTGGGCGAAGTCGCAGTCGGTCGTCCCGGGCGGCGGCGACATCGTCGTCACGCGCGACGTCGTCGACGCGATGTCGAAGGAGGCTGCGAACCCGCGCGCGTTCGCGCGCCTCGTCCAGAAGACCGCGACGCCCAGGACGGGTAACGCGAGAGCGAAAGCGAGGACGAGCTCGAGCGATCCGGGCGGCGGCGTCGCGACCGTGCGCGCGAAGGACGCGTTCGATTTCTTCCACGTCGTCATGGACGCGCGCGCGGACGCGGCGACGTGGTCCGCGCGCGCGGCGGCGTTCGACGGCGACGCGAAGTGGAACCACGCGTCGTACAAGTCGACGCACTCGAAAGTCGCGGCGGCGACGTCGGAGGAAGGGTGGGACCGAGGAGGGCGATCGTTCGCGTCGTCGAGCGACGAGAGTTTTCCGTCGGAGAAGAAGGGATGAACGAGGAAGGGGACGCCGGTGAAGGAGAAGGTCGCCGACGAATGGGAGGCGGCGGCGACGAAAGGAGACGGAGATGAACGATGACGCGGTAGACTAGTAGCTGATCGCGATGGAATGCGTAGTAGTATCTTATTCGTATCATCGTGTCGTTCCGTCCTCTTTCGAAGTATTCTCGTCCGTCTCGCCTTGGGGGCGGGGGGGGGTGCTCTCGCGGGCGCCCCCCGCGCGCGTCGTCGATTTCAGTCTCATCGGGGCGCGAGGCGTTTTCGCGCTCGCCGCCGGCCGGCGTCTGCATCTACGTCGTCTTCGCGAATTTGTCGCGAGGGGCCGCCGCGGGGGATCCCGCGGCGTCCCCAAACTCGAATCGGCGTTTTCGAGTCGTCGTCGTCGTCGTCGTCGTCGTCGCGCCCGCCGCGACCTCGCCCTCTTCCTCCTCCTCCTCCGCCGCCGCCAATCGCGCGTCGTCGCCCGCGCTCGCATTCTCCTCCCCGCCCGCGGCCTCGCCTTCGTCCCGGCCTTCGGATGCCGCCGCCTCCTCCTCCTCCTTCTCTTTCACGAACACGTGGTAGTGCGGCACGTCCACGGAGTTGTTATCGTTCATGTCGTAGTTCCACTCGACGCAGCCGGGGACGTTCGCCGCCAGCCACGGCTTGCACCACGCCACGATATCCCTCGCGCGCATCTCTCGCTTCGACCACAGCGTCCAGTGCGATATCCCGGGGGGGCACTCGTACGGGAACATATTTCTCTCGAGCGCGACGTCCGTCGACGGACCCCCGCCGTCGTCGCCGCCGCCGCCGCCGACGCCGAACACCGTCCGCTCGATGTGATCCTCCATGCCCCAGTACCCCCCCTCCGCGTCGATCGCGGCGATGTGCGCGCGCTTGCGTTCGGTGCACTCCTCCGATCGCATCCAGTATTCGAGTCGGAGCGTGCACGGCGGTCCCGGGGCGGGATCCGCGGCGGGGTCGAACGGATCGTCGTCGTCCTCATCCTCTTCCGAAGAAGCTTCGGAGGCGTCCGAGGCGTCGGAGGCGTCCGCGTCTACGTCGTCGGCGCCGCGGCGTCGAGCGCGAGCGCGATCGCGCGTCCGTCCGCGCGCGTCGCGATCGCGATCGTCGTGATCGTCGTCTTCCTCGGATGCTCTTCTCGTCTTCTCGTCTTCCTCGGTTTCGCCTTCGAGCGAAGATTCGCGCGTGGAGGAGGGGCGGGGTTGGGATGAATCGTGTTCGATTTTCTGCGGCGGCGTGCGCGCGCGCATCGAGGGCGTGTCGCGCGCGCTTAGCGACGTGGATATGCGCACCGAATCGTCGACGGGGGCGTCGACGGCCGCGAGATCTCCCCCCGCGACGGCGGATTCGACCGCGCGCATTTTTCGGGCGAAGCGAAGGAAAAAGAAGGAGAATGAATGAATCGACGGCTATCAGAGCCGCGCTCGACGTCCGATCGCGCGCGTCGTCCGCGCGCGTGATCCGCGCTTCCGCCCGCTCTCTACTCGAGCGGGGCCTTCTCGGACGTTCGCGCAGCCGAAGCCGCGGCGCGCGCGACGCTATCTATGACCTCGAGGCGGCGGCGGACCGATCTATCACGCGGATGGAAGCAGACGACGAGAGAAATTTCACCCGCGGCCAGCACGAGCGTCTCGACGCCGACTGCGAGTTCGATCCGGGTGTTTTTTTTTCAGTTTTTTCACGTACAGTAGTAATAAACGTACACGCGCGACTACCTATGCCAGCGCGAACCGTCCCTCCCCGCGCGTCATCGCTACGCGGCGTTCGCGCTCTTGTGCCGCCGCCCGGCGATCGGCCCTCGGTCCGGGTCGGGCTTCCAGTGCAGGCACTCCCCGTGGATCCGCAACTTTCCGCCTCCGCCGCCGCAGCCGCCGCCGCCGCCGCCGCCGCCGCCGCCGCCGCGCTTCCCCGCCGCTCCCTTCCCGTTCCTCTCCGTCAGCGTCTCCGGGCACCACGCCGCGACCGCGTCCTCGAGCGCGCGCGTCGTCGCGCTCACGAGATAGTTCCCGCGGTAATACCGCAACATGTTGTGCGACTGAGGGTCGAGGGTCCGCGCGAAGCGACCAGACGTCGGGGGCGGAGGTCAAAGGCGTCAGTCGGGCTCTTCGCGAGCCGTCGCGGCGGGCGCGTCGGGATCGAAAGCGAACGGCGCGCGGAGAAGAACGCACGCCGGGGGGTGGCCCTAAAGAAAACGAGAAGACGCGTTAAGGATCGGCGTGCACCGCGCGAACGAACGAACGCGGTCGTATGGGGACCAGTGTGATTGATGCTCGCCTGAAGCGTGGTCACGACGTCGTCGGTGGTGATGGCCGTCATCCTCGACACGTCGCTCACCGTGACCTTGCCCTTGTGCTCGTACAGCAGACGCAGGATGACCTTGCTCCAGTAGCTCCGGTATGACACCTGCCCGAGGTCGCTGAGCGGGCGCTCCGGCGTCCCCGGTCGCCCCTCGCGCTTCGAGAGCTCGTACGAAAACTCAATCAAAAATTTCCCGTACCCGCGTCGTTGATACGGCGGCAGCGTGAGGATGCACGCGAGGTTGTAGCTCTCCTGCGAGTGCTTCTCCTTCGAGAAGTACCCGACGAGGTGGTAGTTACCCTCGGGCGTGTCGTTGTCGCGCTCGCACAGGACGTAGAACAGGAACGGCTCGACGTCGTAGTACAGCGTCTTGTGGTCCAGAAACAGCTTGGAGAGGAGGCAGAGGTTTTGGCAGTAGACTCCCGCCTTGGCGCCGTCGACTTCGAACATCGCGAGCGTCGGCGCGCCCGGCGCCGCGTTCGGCTCCAGGGGCTGGCGATAAATCTCGTTCCCGGGCGGATGCGACAGCGGGCACTTCGCGCGGTGTCGCAGCAGCGTCTTCTTCTTGCGCATGTACTTGAGGCAGAACTCGCACACGAAGAGCTTTTGCCTCGAGCAAAACTCCTCCGGGTACGGCGAGTAATACCAGCAGTCCATCTCGTACTTTCCCATCTCCACGGTGTTGACGTTCTTCACCTTGGTCTTCTCTTCGTGCTCTTGCTCGATGAGGCGCTCGATCGGGAACATGTCCTCGGGCGCGACCTCGACGTGGTTCATCTCGTTGAGTCTGCGTTTCTGCGTGCGCGTGAGCTTGCGGCCGGCGGCTTGGCCCACAAACTTTTTCCCGCCCGCCCCGTTTTTCCAGTCGCCGTCGCCGCCGCCGCCGTCCGATCGCCCGCCGCCGCCGCCGCCGCCGCCGCCGCGCGTCTCTCCGTCCGCGCCTCCGCCGAGACCTCCGACCCCGCCTCCGACGCCGCCGGCGCCGGCGTTCTTCTCGAGCTCCGTGAGCTCGCGCACGTTCGACGCCTTCACCCACTGGTCGCAGCGTTTGTTGTAGTCGACGTAGTGGACGTAATACAACGCCCTCTCGTTCTCGTCGAGACGCGCCTTGCCCGTCGCCGACGTCGACGCCGCCTTATCGCGCGTCTCGACGACGTCGGCGACGTGGTATTCGCCGTCGAACGTCGCGAGCGCCATGACGCGCTCGCCCTTCTCGAACGCGGCGCGTCCTCCTCCTCCTCCTCCTCCTCGCCCTCCTTCGCCGCGTCGTTTCGTCTTCTTCTTCTTCGCGGGCTCCCTCTCGTCTTCTTCCCCGGCGGCGCCCGCGCCCGCGTGCGCGTCCGCGGCGGCCGATCGCGATCGGCTCGGTTCGCCTTCTCCGCGCTCCCCCTCCCCGCGCGACGATCGCGGCGGCTCCGCGGGCGTCGCCGCATCCGCGTCCCTGGTCGCGTTCTCCGCGCCGCGGCGGCCGTTCTCCTTCCCCCGCGCCGCCTTCGCGGCGCCTTCCCCCTCCTTCTCCGCGGCGACGGCGACCGCGGCGACGCGCGTCTTCTCCGCGGCGGCCGCGGCGACGGCCGCGCGCGCGCGCGCGTCCTTCTCATCCTCTTTCGCGCGCTCCTCGCGCTCGAGCTTCGCCAATTCCTCGTTCGACGGCATCTTCGTGGACGGCAGCGGCGCGCTCACGCGGACGTCCGCGTCCACGCGGCGCACGTCGCCGTCGTCCATGTCCGCCGCGAGCCCCGCGGCGGCGGCCCACGCGGCGTCCGCGTCCGCGTCCGCGTCGGACCCGCCGCCGTCTCGGTCCGCGTCGTGCATTTTTTTGTCGGCGTGATGTTGGTTCGTTAACTCGTCTCGCGACGATGCAATGCGCGCGGGATCGACCGCCGCGCCGCGCGCGCCTCCTCTCGCGCGCGCGCTTCGCCGCCGAGCCTCGGAGACGACGCCGCGCGTCCAGTCGTCGCCGTGCGCGCGACCGTGCGTTCGCCGCGACCGCCGCGACCGCCGCGACCGCGCGTCGACGAGTGCGCGCGATCGGAGCCGCGCCCCGAACGAAGGGCGCCAGGGTTGCCAGAGACAGCCAGCAAGCAAGCTGGCGCGGAAGGGACGACGGATTTTCCTCGCGCGAGCGCCGCGACTGGCGACGACGAGGAAGTGCCAGTCTCGCTCGCGCGGCGTCCTCCCCCCCGCCGCTGCCGCCGCCGCCGCGGCGATGTCGTGGTGGAAGTCGCCGCCCGCGCCCCCCCCGCCGTCGCCGTTCCCGCCGCCGTCGTCCATCCTCCCCTCGTTCGACGCGTCCGCGCTCGACGACGGCGGCGCGTTCGCGCTTCGCGCGTCGCTGACGGTGTACGGCAGCGGCGCGGACGTCGGCGGGCTCGCGCCGTCGTGGTCCGACGCGTCGTGGCGGTGCGTCACCGACTTCGCGCGCGCGGGCGCGGACGGGTTCGTCTCCGCGTGGGCGCAGCTCGACGTCTACGGCGCGCTCGCGATGACGTCCTCGTTCGACCTGAGCGCGAGGACGTGGAACGTCCTGCGCTTCCGCGTCCGCGCGTCGAACGCGGACGTCGAGCTCTTCTGGGACCACGCGACGACGACGACGACGACGACGACGGCCGCGAACGCGTCCTCCGAGTGGACCGGCCCGCTCCTCCTCAGCGGCATCGTCGACGCCGACGCGGACGCGGACGCGTCGGCGTGGCACAGCGTCACCGTGCCGCTGGACCCGGCGTTCTTCGACCCGAGCGCGACGGAGGGACCGCCCGCGACGAGCTGGAACCGCCTCGCGTTCCGCGACGTCTCCGGCGCGGGCGGGGAGCTCGCGCTTCGAGACGTCTTTCTCGAGTCGTACGCGCGCGCGATAAATCCCCGAGATATCTCCGCGCCGCCCGCGCCGAGCGCGCCGAGCGCGCCGCCGCCGCCGTTGCCGACGAAAGGCGACGGCCCCGGCGCCGCCGGCGACGCCGGAAACGTGGACACAGCTGTCGGCGGCGCCGGCGACGCCGACGGCGCCGTCGCGCGATGGTTCATGGTCTCCACCGTCGCGCTCGTCGCGCTCGTCGCGCTCGTGATC